TTGGCTGTTGGAGTCATCAACGCAATGCCATAGCTTGTCGATATCAGCGTTAAATCTACAAGATCATTTTCTCTGCGCCTCACAACGTATAATTTGTGATTGTTATAAAGTCGAACGACCAATCGACCAGTCACTCGAGCAGAGTAAACCCAACCCAATCCGACCGACCGAGCGACGGACCAACGATGGCGACCTGGTAATAGACTCGTCGTCGCACGCGTAATGAATTGAAACGTTTCTTGGCGGCGCTGCTGCTGCTGCTGTCGTTGTTGCTGTAGTTGTTGTTGTTGTAGTTGTTGTTGTAGCTGTTCTTGTGTGCTGCTGCAATTGAAATTGTAAAGTTTCTCGGGGCCTTTGTCTGCGCCCAGTCCATCAACGTTTCTAGCTTCAATCGATCATTGCTGCAGTTCAGTTTCATTTCACTTGAATTCTGTTTGATATCTTCCTTACGCTTTCCCAGAATGTGTTCTGTGCTGGTTACTCCAACTCTGTGATTTATTTGGTTAGAAAGAGTGCACTTTGACAGCGACTTGCAGCTGAAAGCTGAGTTGGCATTCGGGTTAGTTTTTGGTGTTGGTGTTGGTGTAGGTGCAGTGCTTGGTCTTGGACTGGTACCGACAGCGAGGCGTAATAATGCTTTTAATATCAATTGAAGAGAATCTACGGCATTGTGTTTTGACACTGGAAGGCACGAAGTGAATGTCCATCCGCCTTCCGGATAGCGCATCACAACTGTGTCGAAAAAAGCGGCATATACATATATAGTATCTGGCAATTTTGGGGTGAATTCAAATTACTGCTGCAATAAATCTAGCACGCTAATTTCATAATAGCAATCTTCAATTAATAGAGATTCTCATAAGAATATGTACTAGTATATTTTTTGAACATCTCATCATAAATAACATGTCTTATCACTCATACAAAATAATAATTCGTCTTCAAACCTCTTTATTTCGTGTACAAATGCATTTCAAAGGAGGTACTAGTAATAGTCCTGCCAATATTCGAAAGGGGGATTTCTTAATACTTTATGTTGCTTCAAATTTTGTGGCACTGTAGGACCTTGAAAGCCTTTTCCTTTTCCCGCTTGCTTTCTTTTATTATTTATCTATCATTAGTTTTCCTATCCCACTAACGTAAAGAACATGCCGATTTAGAGCTCTCCTTTCTTATCTTACCCTGATAATTTGATTTCCGCAATGGAACTAAAAAGCTCATTAGAATCGTTCATAATACTTGTAAGTCCTACGTGCTAGCAGCATTCTCTGCGTTTTGTTGTTTTAATAAAATAAGAAGTTATAAAATTAAAGTATTTAAAGTATTCAAATTGTCCATAAACAATCTTCAATGAACGAGTTCATAAATCCGATCAAAATGAAAGAGAAATCTTGAAGGAAAACAAATTACTTAACTTATTTAATTAATTCTAGAATAATCATGTTAAATTCTTTACAGAATTAACTAACTATATGAATAGATGTATGAAGGCAGGAGATCATAAAATTCGAGAATAATCATTAAGTATAGTTATTCAGAGTTCTAATAGGAATCGAACCGATCTCGTTCACATGTTTTAAAAGAACAAATAAAGGTATTCATTAAACCAATTGGATAATTACTTTAGGAATACAGATCTTTAATCGAATCTCAGTCTTTAAATAAGATATCGAATATAGTATCTGTTTTGAGAATATAGAATTTTCTCAATTGTAGCAGAATTGGCGGCAATAATACGTGCTTAAGTTGTAATAGAGTCTCAGCTACCTGGAGTTCTACTTGCTATCCTTTCAGTTGCTTTCCTCTATTGTTGTCGTCGCGACGACGTTAGCCGTATCGTCGCGGCTTTGGAGCGCGTATCGCGAACTGTCATCATTTTCAAATTATTTCTCGTTGAATATCTAATCAAGATTCATGCATGATCGCGGCTAAATTGCTTCCAGGCAAGACACACAGCCCAACAACTACAACAGCAACCATAACAATTGCCTCAACAATGCATAATGCAAGCAGACAACCCAACCATCGACCAGGTACCACCAGGAACGTGCAGCCTGCACGCCCGCGACGTGTTCAATAGTCGGAGGCACAGCCTTTTGGGTTTCCTTCGATTTTTTCGCATTGTACTTGCTGTATTGTTTTTCTTGCTTTTTATTTTCCTCGAGTTAATAGTGTTGTTATTGTAGGCCAATTTCTAGCTTGTGGCTTTGGTAAGTTCTTGATTTTAGCTTTGACTTTGTTTATTTTCCGGCCCCGGAGAATTCCTCAAGCAAGCGCTGCAAATACTCGTATGTATGTATTTCTGGGTGGTAAATTCGCTCTGACAGTTGTAAGCTGAGCTGCAATCGCAATTACCCGACTGGTGTGCGAAATGAATCACTATATTTCTCATATGTACATGCACATACCTTTTCTGTGCACCCAAGTAGTCCCTGCCGATGTTCATTAGCTTCTGTCGACACTGCGCATGCTCGCACTTGTACTTGAACTTTAACTCGTCTTTATTTTACTTAATTGAAGTAGCCAGCACTACCGACGACAGTAGGTAAATAATTCAATTACACATCGTACTTACGCCATATAGTACATGTATGTATGCATGTATGTGTACATACGGACTCGTACAGTACATAATACTCATACAAATCGAGACAATTTGATGCCTAATGAATCAACTACTAAAAACAAATATATATGAATATACATAGCTAGGCTAGCTACTTAAAAGTATACAGATATGCGCAGGTTTACAATAATTATATGGTGTACCAGAAGCAACAACACATTAACGCTGCCAATTGATTGTTCGCGGACTTCCCTATAACGTATTATTCCTGACCCTGTTCCCATTGGTAATTTAGATAATTTTGTTGAAATTGTAGATTCGGATTCGGATAAAGAGAGCTATGTGTGAGCTAGAAATATATATACCTACATACTCGTAAAACAGTGCTGCGATGCGTCGCAATTCCAATTCTGAGTCCATATTTTATATTTACAGTTGGTCTTCGATTATCCGGACCTAATTATCCGTGACAAAAATTTACAAACTGACTAACTCGAAGATCATTCAAAAGTTAAGGAGAATATATATTAGAGCTAGCTTAAACTATTGTTTAAATAATCTTTATATTACCCCCTTTTTTAACGCTCGTTCCCAATAATCAGAGATTAATCGGAACTCAATTGTATTTTATTGATCAATTTTTTTTATTGACTTGACATTTAAAATAGGGCTTAAAGTTTGTTTGAAATAAGAGTGATCTGATATATATATATAGCCTTAAGATAAACTCAAAATAATTAAAGTGATTTGAATATTGAAAAAGTTAGGAATGTTTGAAATATTTTAGACTTCAAATATCGCTGCTTCTTTTTAGATAACCAGTTTAACTAGTTTAAAAAGTAATAAATGTATTTAATACATTTAATTTCTTTGAACCCTATAATCTTTTCTGAAATCTACAGACAACATATTTTTACAATTTAAATAACAGCTTCTGCTAAAATAATGTGCTTTTTAAAAACATATTGATAATGCTTTTTAGTTCTTGAAATGTTTATTTTGTAACATTTAATAGCAGACGTTGTAAGAGAGAGAAATCGTAAACAAAACAGATAACATATAATAATAGGTGGAGGCGTAGTCTTTTATAATCGGCAATGGATGGTGTTAGGAGTGGGGTTGAAATGAGGAGACGGTCGTTGTAGCAAATGAATAATCCTATATTGTCTTGATTAAAATTATCGCCAACAATTGTTGTTTTCGCATAACAATTGGACAGAGTAGGAAGAATTAAACGAAGCACGAACTTCGATGATACTCTAATAACTAAACTAAACTACCAAAAAAAAAAAAAAGAAAAAAGCAATTCTATATAAAAGTTTCCTACATCTTAAATTTTCAAAAAACATGCAAATTCGATATTAATATTATCGTGGAAGAAAGCATAAATGAATTGAATTATTGTTTGCACTGGCAGCTTAGCAGCTAATTGTTGATGCGACTGCAACACACTTCCTCCCCCAACCCAACCCAACCCTACCCTTTCCCCTACCCCCTCCCCGAGCCCGATTAACATCAATTGACTGACCAACCACACCAGCGTCGAATGCGTTCAAAAAATTTGTACGGAATGACAGTTTTATTAAATTACATTGAAAGTCTATCGCCGCTTGTTAAAGTGCTGTTTTGTGTGCGTGTGTGTGTTTGCTTTAGCCACTTAATTGTTATTAACTTATGGTTGACATTTGTGACATTTCCAACGCTTGGAGTGCCAGCAATTGACGCCGGTTGCGTTGACAACGTGGCGTCCAGCTAATTGATGACCCAAAAAGGCGTATAATTCTTTTTATTAGATTTGCAAACCAACCACAGCCACATAACTAATTTGGCTTCACATATGTAGGGGCATGTCTGTAGCTCCAAAAGTTGGTGGGGATTCATGGCTATGTGGGACCCATCACTACTAGCCGCTCTTACAAACAAATCCAATTTGGACTTGAGCCCAAAAACAAGTTATTGGCATACGAAGGATGGCTACACAAAATCGCCCGAAGATGAAGGCTTGACATTTTTATTATTTGTACGCATATGTGTTTATATTTTGCGAGGGCCGGCAAATTTACGAGCCTGAGAATAAAGAGGAACTGGCAGCAGCAACTGGATTGCAACTGGATTGTTGCTGCTGCCAGGCAATATCAATGTCGGGGAACGGTAACAACGACGCGGTTGGATAGCAATTCATGGCTACCCATATTTTCTTAACACGCTGCGCAGAAGAGCCGCATCTTGAGCCGCGTCTTGAAATTTCATTATCAAACATGCAAATCGAAGTTGGAAGTTGGAGTGGCAAACACAATTCTTTAAACTTGGCGCGTGTATCGTAAATTGAATTTTTGACGCTTCTGTTCTGTGGCCCTTCATTGCAGCATTGAATAGCTTGTCTGTTATTTATTTATTATTTTTAGCTAACTTTGCATTTTGGTCTTATTTTCAGCTGATTGGTGAACATTTACGAAGAGATCTTAAGTAAATCTTACATTAAACAGCTACCACACTCTAACCTTAAAGGCCAACTTAACGCCAAAATGGTGCTCGTGCTGAATGGCGTTCTGCAGGACGACTGTCCGATGGACACCAACAGTCTCTTTCTCCAGCATCCAGTCTACAGAGAATATGCACAGCAGCTACACTCCATACAGGCGAAATCGGTGGGTCCGGCTGGACTGCTCTACGTTGGTCAGCGCGAGCTTGCCGCCGCTGCTCCGCATGATAAGAACATTAATATTATTGGCGCCGATGATGCCACCACCTGTATTATTGTCGTAGTGCGACATTCTGGTAAGTCTCGAAACACAATTGTGCCGAATAGCCTTTAAATTAGTTCCATTTCAATTGTGTGATAGGCTCCGGTGCTGTGGCTCTGGCGCACTTTGATGGCAGTGGCGTCGATGAGGCCGTCTGCACAATGGTATCGCGCGTTCAGGAGCTGGCACTTGGCTATCCTGAAGGACGCATCGAGTTGCAATTGATTGGTGGCTACCGAGACTCGCAGGGCTATGGCGAGGATGTCTTCTACAGCATTATGCGTAAGTGATTTGTATCTCGATTAACCCAATAGTTGGTTAATACTATATGCATATATTTCTGTAATACCTGTGTGATTTAGAATCATTCCACAAGCACCATCTGGAAATCGATTTGACGCAAGCCTGCGTTGGCGAACTAAACACAATGCTACGCGGCGAAAGAAATTGCCCGATTATTTATGGAGTGGGAGTCAACATCAAAACTGGCGAGATATTTCCAGCTACTTTTCCGGACAGAGGTCCCGATCGACAGCTGCGTGATGCCAGAATTTTTATGGGAGCGCAATCGGTACGTTTTTGCTTTGTTAAATGAAAGCATTTACTAATAGCGGCCACCTTTCAGGTCTTGGACATATACGACTCCGCGCTTGAAATGTTACGGATCGGTCCCTTTAATTATGATCCACTGCGTGGCGCTGATTTATGGCTGGCCCAAACAGATGAATTTTTGCTGCAGCATCTATCGTCAAGTCCGGACGTGGAACCGCCACATTTCGCTCATCAGGTGCGTTTAGCAGTCTAACGATTACAAGTATAGTGGAGGACGGCCTAAATTTCGTTGTTTATTTCAGACGCGTGCCACCATCAGATTTATACAGGAGAACCAGTTCCCCGCTGTTACCGTTTTTAGGGACAATCGGCCCCGCTACTACCGACGCGACGACGCTACGGGCTGTTGGGTTTTGGTTAGATATTAAAGTTTAATTATAGTTTTAGTTGTTACGCAAGTAGTAAAACATCATGGAGCAATGTCAGATGTAAACTGGTGCATGTGTTATTCGTCATTCCGTTTGTTCATTCGTTATTTGTTAAAAATTGCTTTTTCTCACCTCACACTACTACATATAGTACATATCTATGTAATCTTTGCCTAGAATCGTTGCTTCTGCCTAACGTTGCCCTATGATATTATTTTTTCACACTAAGTTTTATAACTTTTGCAATTCTCTCTAGCTATTGTGCTTTGTTATTGTGTTGAGCTTGCAGTCGAACGAATCAACTCTTGAACTGTATTTTAAATTCTTTCTTTCTTTATAATTAGGTTCTAGATTGAGTTCGGATCTAGAACACCTTCGGGACGCGCCTTATTAATGGATCTGAAAGAAACGATAACTAATTATACATACATACATATGTTTACTGTGTGTACACATACATACATATACATATATTCATATGTAATACATATTAAATAAATTGATTAAATATTTAAAATGATTCTTAGCAAAATATATACACATGTAAACGAACCTTTTAACGCATTAATTTTAGTTTTAAAATGTAAACTGTATTCACTATAACAAATTAAAATGGCTTGGCTATTCGTACATATGCATAAAAAAACAGACCGATATGTGTTTTATTATAAAATCGGACATGTCATTTACCAGGGAAGGATATAAAAATGATGCATTCCGATTCAATGATTACTTTTGTTTACACCAATTTCCTGGGTATTGCATAAAACGATCTACATACGTATATATACATATACATACTTGTATGTATTTACATTTCTGTTTTTTCAAGTATTTTATAAAAAACAGGATTGGCAGCCCAAAATACTTCGCAGCTATGGATTTTTAATATTTAGCAATAAAAATGATCAAAAAGGAAATAAACGATAATCGATCCACGTAATGCATTTTGTCATATGTATACACGACAAGATTCAGATTATTAAGATTAAAGTCATTACAGGCAAAAATAATTTCCATAATTTGTTTTTTTCAAGGTATTTAAATTTTTAATCAATGTACCAATTTTACTGATCATTTATGTTGATTTTATTGTTGACAGCAGTCTGTCAATATGTGTATGGTGAATTATCGTTGCACAATGAAAAAAGTTAAGGTCAAAAAGGTAAATTATTTATGTTAAAGGCTTCATGTTATTTTTAAAGCAGCAATTTCAATTCAATGTAGAGTAAGGGCTTATACCATCTGAAGAAAGCGACGACTCCCATTGTCATATTGTCTAAGCAGTCATAATTTCAAACATCCCCTTTTATTAATTTTGCAGAAGCTAAAAACCCACTGCACCTTTTTTATGTCCAATCAGAAACAGCTAATTCAACTGTTCACAGTATGGCAGCACCGATTAATACTAAAAAGTGCTGCGGAACTATCGGCGGTAAGCTGACACAAATAACTGAAATACACATTCTGTTGAAAACAGGAGGAAAAAATGCCAGCTGAGAATTCGAATACAAATAATTAACATAAAATTACTAATGATACGTGGTATTTTATTTTGAAGAATTTATTCAGTTCGATAAACGGATTTGTTCATTGAACTGGAGCAATACAACGCAAACTATTATCGCCATCTCTAGTTGTCTGTCGTGTCGTCGTTGTCTCGGGCAGTTGTTCTTTTGGATGGGAAAGTGATATTTATTTCGAATTATACATTTTTCGCGTTAATAAATTGCTTTTTTAATATCACTTTGCATTTTGCAAAGCATGTATTTATGAGGACTAACTGAAATTCAAGACTGAAACAGCTACAACTACACAGGAACGTGTCGATTTCTAATCACACTTGCTGCACTTTCTTCCATAAAGTAACAGTTTCACTGCAACAAGAAGAGCGCCCGTAGCTCACCTCCGCCATAATAAATTTGTGCCAAAGCGTCGGTGGCGTCTAATCATTAGAAGAAAAATAGAAGAAAAACATTGTATCAGCGAACAAATCCGCTTGAACTAGTTTGTGTTGGCTGGCACTTGCGAAGAAGAAAACACATCGCAAAAGGGCAGGGCGCATTTCAATTTTGCTGTGGACGACGACGACAAGACGTAAGTGGCTTGGAATTTATTAATTATTTCTTTTGAAAAAGACAGCAGCTTTAATGGGTTTGTGTGCGTAAATGTATGCGTACTCATCTATGTGCATGCGTATGTAGTTATTTACATACGTATGTACAATTGGCGTTTTCGAAAGCATGTTTACGGTTATTGCATTTCATAGCCATTTTGTCCAGGGTTACCAAATCACTAAGTAAATCAGTATTCTCCCTATCTCAACAAATTAACAGTTATATTTGGTGTTTCTTAGAATTTGTTGCATGGCCATGCAATATTAACTGATTGTTGGCTGAGCTTAACGTAGGTTAACAACCAGGTATTAAATAATCATAATGAATATAATTTTTAAATACTTGTTATCTTTTCAGCAAAAATCATGAACGGAAAGCCTAATTCCGGTTCATCCAGCTTTGATTTGCACATCACACATTTGAACCACGTTGGCCCATACTTAAAGATATTTGGCCAGGTTAACCGTGAAACGATTTCTTTGCTTAGTAAACGAATCGAACAGTTGCTTCCCACATGTTTTGCAATTGAACCCAGCTGGTCCTTGGGACGGCAGCAGGCACTTTTGGTGCCCGGCATATTTTGTGTGTTTAAACAAAAGTACGGTGGGGCGCCAGGAGATGCGGATTATATGCGAACACGATTGGTGAGCGTTTCCATTGATGAACAGCTGGACGATCAAATACAGATGCTCGCCGAGATTGAATTTCTCGATTTCGGATACTGTAAGACTGTAAACAGTCGAGATGTAAGTGTGTGTGATATACATATATCGAACTTTATAATAAGTTTTGCCACGACGTCGTCTTTATTTACAGCTACTTTTTCCAAAACAACCTCAGCTACTTCAAAACGTTCCAATTCTGTGCACACAATACATAATGCTCGGTATTTGTGCCGGTTGGGAAGCAGCTGATTTTGACAAAGTCAACCAGTTGATTTTAAATCATACAGTTCATATCTCAGTTGAGCACGAGGTTAGCAAGAATTAAGCTTTTGTGCATTACTTAATTACTTACGCATATTTCCCTTGAAGATTTCTGGTCAAAAGTTTGTCAATGTACAATGGAAGGATTTCAACTTGGCAGAGTTTCTAGTGCAACAGAAGCAAATTGGAGCGCCCATTACAAACGAACTGATGTTGGAGCATTGCAAGAAAATGTGGAAAGACTCTCCACAGCCAACCAACAATAACACCCATTATATCAATAACAACATGCAAAACATGAGTAACGCCTCAAAGACGCCAACCGATTTGGCTCGTGAACAGCTCGCTGCCCGCCGTTCGCTGGCTGCCCGACTGGAGCAGCAGCGCACGTTGCCCGTGTCAATGCCCAGACAATTGAATGCGGCTGCACCGGAACACATACCGAAGCAGCTGAACGCAATGCAACTAGCTAGAGATAAGGCTTTGCCAGCTTCTGTTTCGCTCGCGGATGTGGTATGATTTTTGAGCTTAGCAATTTCCGATTTGCACAATATGTTATTAGCATAATTTTCTTTTCCAGACAAATGTAATTCCTTCCACTGTTCAAGCACGGGCTCTAGCAAACATACAAAAGCCCACATACATGCCAAGTAATCAATACACGCGTGCCACCTTCCAGTCAAACGAACCCATTCTTCAGATGTCGGTTCACAATGCATTCACTCCAAAAACTGTCCAACGTTCGGTAAACATGTACAGCAATGTGCGATTGGGCAAACCTATGCTGCCACCCTCAATTCAACCACACTTGCATTCTCTTAGTCCTGTTCGATACTCGCCGCCCAGAACTTATACGCCAACGATGCCGCCCGTTCTACCCCAAAGTATAATTCCAGCGTTTAAAAGCACAAGTCTGACGATCGGCTGCACATACGATGTCTATGTGAGCTACGTAGAAAACGGCCCTCACATGTTCTGGGTGCAGCTGAAGAGTGCGACAAAGGAGCTCGAAACCCTAATGGGACACATTGAGCGTTCCAATCTAAACCCAATGATGCACAGTCCTGAAGTGGGCATGGCATGTATTGCCCGTTTTGCAGAGGACGGAAATTGCTATCGTGCGCTTATTAGCGCTATCTTTGGCAACAAATTTCGCGTTGTTTACGTAGACTACGGAAACTCAGCTATGGTTGAATTCAGAGATCTATTTCACATATCACTTGAGCTTCTGGACATCAAACCATTTGCTTTTCGTTTCAAAATGGCTGGCACCAAAGAGCTGGAGCCAATTGACGAAAGCATTAAGCGACTTTTTAGGGAATCTGCATTATATAGAAACTTTCATCTTATAGTGCGTCCAGCAGAAAGTGTTGGATCTCTTCAGACTTGTTATCTAAAAGATCGTGATGTAAGACCCAGTTTAACAATTCGATTTTTTTCTTTGAAAATATTAACATTGTTATTTTTTTATTATAGGGAAATAGCATGCTGGACGTGCTTAAAAAGATGAAGAACTCCCGCAAGGCATATGCAACCGCCGAGCACCTTCAGAATGATGATTCGGTCGAAATACGTTTCATTGATTCACCCAGTAATTTTTATGTGCAAAAAGTGTCCAATATTGGACAATTCGACCAGCTCATGGACGAAATGTTTTCCTATTACAATACCAATCAGGTGGTTCCTGAGCAGTTTATCCTTGGCTCTCCATGCATTGTAAAGTTTGAGCAAGGATGGTACCGCGCCGAAATATTGCGAGTCGACAGTTCGGCCATTATTGTGCGCCATGTTGATTTCGGATATGAGCAGAGTGTACAGCGACATCTGATCAGTATTATAGCCGAGAAGCATCTGAAAATGGCGCGCCAGGCCATCAAGTGCTGCCTCAAGGGCTTTGAAAACAGCGAACTGGGTCAGGAAAATATTACCGATCAATTTGAAATGCTTGCTGAAGAATCAAATATCAGACGGCGCACTTTCACAGTACGCGTGTTTCGAATCGAGCCCGATGGCCTCAATGTAGTTAACCTGTTGGCAAGAAATTTGAATGTGATGAAGAAACTTTACAAATTGTCGATGCCCTTCGAGCAGTATTTATCGCTGGAGAAGGGTCAATTTAATCCAATTAAAGCACCATCTGCTGTATCTCCGGTAGGAACAGATGCCTCAGTCGTACCATTGGAAAAGGCAAACATTTTGAACTCTACAACTGTGGAAAGTGACGATCGTATGCAGTTGAAAAGAACAGCGCGTAATAAAGATGCTGGCGAATGGGACAAACACAGTTCAAGCAGCTCCAGAGACAACCGCGACAATCGTGATATGCGCTCCAATTCCAATGACCAACAGCGAAACGCTGGCACTAAGCGGCAGCAACAGCACAAAGTAGAACGTCATCGGGCTCCGAAATTGGACTTGAGTTTTGAAACGCAAAGTACGGGCAGCTATGCCAGCGGTATGAGCTCGCCACGCAAAAATCGCCAGACCGGACGTGGTCAGAATGGAAAACAAAATGCAAACATAAACGAGTAAGTGGAAGAAATGAAATTCATATAGTTATACGCAGTAGTAGGTAAATTGTTAAAAATAATGAGGCCTGTGCCTCTTTTCTAAAATTGAACAAAAATATGCTGATTTAAACAATGATTAGTGGCTTAAATAGTGGCTAGCGAAACGAAATTGAAGCACAAGTTTCAGAGAAAAACAGGGAACTGTATTTTATGGCTGCATTGCGACCTACTTCTGTTTCTCCATTCATATGGCTTAAAACGAAAGTGCCGGACTGAAATCGCACGCTACCAAAATTAGTAAACAGCAATTTTATGACTACTTTTGATTAATGTTAGCAACTGTTTTTCGGTGAGAAGTGTAGCGAAAAGTCAAAACAGGAAAGAGTATGTATTCTAATCAAGTATTTTATACTTCTATGATTTCGAAATAGCGTTTCTAATGTAGAAGGAGTAGTTAAAACCCACAATTCAACAACGTGGAGATCCAATTTCATCTTTACTTTTTTTAATGTACTTTTGTTTTTAAATGTATTAGGTATGCGGAGAGCTTCAAGTAATTCTAAATTAATAGTTGAAAAACCTTTATAAATAATAATGCTATTTATAAAATGATAATTTATCAATTTCAGTCGTAGCTCGCCACGAAAAGAGCAGCAACAAAAACAAAATCAGCGTTCACAAAATGCTCCACAAGGATTTGCGCAGAAGCCGCTGCGTCAAAAATCCACTTTGGATGGATCAGCAGGCCTGAAGAAATCCAGCGGTATCGATAGTGACGGAGCATCCAGTACATCTACAACATCGAAGTCGCAGAATCCGGAATCATATCTGCCACTGGATAAAGCATTTGTGCTGCAAGACGTTAAAACACCTCATAAAGATACCGCAAGCATTTCCTGGTGGGTCTCACCATTCCAATTTTATGTTGTGTTCAAAACTGCGGCCACCAAGTACGATAGTCTGCTGAGGGAAATGAAAGAATTCTATCGCCAGAAGCCTAACCAGTCGCTGCAACTGAAAGTGGGCTCCAGTGTGGTGGTGCGTCATCGCAAAGACGGTGCCATATTACGTGGCACGGTACATGCTTGCAATCACATGCTCCGCAAATATCGAGTTTTTTGCGTGGACTCTGGAAATATAATCACGGTTACCTCTGAGGATTTATGGCAGGTGGAGCAGCGCTTTGCAGAAGCACCCTGCCTGGCCCATCGTTGTACCTTTAACAGCGTGGTCAGCAACTACGATCACCTTTATATTATCGATCGCATGGAGAAATTTGTGCCATCCAATGCCAAAGTTGAGTGCGAGTTTCTCGAGAAGCACTTAAAAAGTAACACTTTTATTGTAAACATATTTGTTAATGGAGATTCGTTGAGAGATATGTTGGTTAAATCACAGTTTTTGACCCAAGTACCCCCTGGTAAGCTAAAATTGACCTTCATATTGATTCATATATAAATCTTATATTGTTCCGCAGAGGTGCGTGTCTCTCTGCTGGCAGGTCAGCAAATACGTGGAAAGTTCAGCTCCATTCGAGACATGACAAACTTTAAAATACAGCTGGAATGCTGCAATACCGTCAATTTCCTATGCAGTTACGACGATCCAAAGTTCGTCAAAGCTAACATGGATTTGGCAAGGCATTTTAAGGAGTTTTATGAGGGAAAATCGGTCGCTTTTAATGTGAAGGATGTGTGTGAAAATAATATGTAAGTACCTATAATACGAGACATTTAGTCAAACTCCTTTGCCGCTAACAGACTAGTTGCTATGAACTTATGATAATTTCATAAATAATTAGTTAAGTTAATAAAAGGTTACTGATTTCTGGATTTTTTCCAATATCCGCAGCATACATTTGCGCCCTATTATGCCCCTGTTTAAGGAAGATCGCAACACATTCATTTGCGGATACCCTATAATGACGAATACGTTCAAAGCTCTTGTCGTGTATATCGCAAAACCCTATCGAGTGTATGTGCAGCCCAGCGTCATTGAGTCTGTGATGAAGGAAATGTTGGATAACATGTACGATTATTATGAAGAGAATGGTAAGTCCAAATAAGGGATCGCTAAAATATTTAAACTTAACTCAAACTATCATTGAACCATAGGCAAACCATTGTTGAAAATTGAAAAGGATCAGTTGTGTGCGGCACGCAGTAAGGATGAAAATTGGTACCGTGCTCGCATTGTGGCTAAGAACGCTAATGAAAAGGAAATCGAGGTGTTTTACTTAGATTACGGCAACACAGAAAAGTTGAGCCGCAGCGACCTTAAAGTTTTGGAAGAAAAGTTTTACGTAGATAAAAGCAGTTACGGCGTGGAAATCAACTTACCGATTGGTCGCACTAATAACGAGGAAAATCTAAAGGCCCTGTTAAGCAAGCTTTTGGATGAACAAGTTGTTACCGTAAATCCAATCGAGACACGCCGTAATCATATAATTGCTGATTTGATTTTAAACAATAATCAGAGCGTAGTAAATGCATTGAAATCTGAGAAGCTTATCGCAGGACGGGATATTGATTACATGCGTAAACAATTGGAAAAGGATAGACCACATATATTTGAATATATCGAGACAGTAGACCTTACTAAAGACGATGATGATGAGAACAAAAAGAAGGAAAAGGAGCCAAACACGTCACAACCACCTAAAGCCTCGCCAAAGAAGAAAAAACAAGAGCCAGAAGAGAAACGTAATAAATTAGCAGAGAAGCCAAAGCCAGTTGCTGTGGAGCAAAACTTAAAACCCGAGCCCATGTCCGCTCCTGCAGTTGCAGTTGAAGCGATTACCAAAGTTTGTACCGAACCTCAGCTGCCAACCAAATCCCTAACGCCGCCTCCAGCGACCCCAACGCCAGCACCTGAGACTGAAACTGTCGCTCTGCCCGCTACAGCCTCCCCAGATCCTTATAAAGACATGGACACGGTCGTGCTTAGTCACTGTGACAATCCGGCACAATTTTTTGTGCATTATATTGATAAACTCGACACGTTGCATCGATTGCAAGAAAACCTGCAGATTGTATCGCCTTCGCTGCCGCAACTGATGAATGTTGTTGATGGCGCTGAATGCATTTCCCTGTATTCTGTGGACAAACAGTGGTATCGTGCCAAGATAATTGATGCTGAATTAATGGTCTTAAAGTTTATAGATTATGGCAATACTGACTGTGTGTCTGATGCCAGCGAAATCAAGGAGAGCATGTGGTCCCATATTGAACCATTTTGTGTGCCTTGCGCACTGCCCATCTGTCCCAAAACTGCTGACTGGGTGGATGCGGCCAACAATATATTTAATGATTCCTATAACAAAATTATACACTACGAGTATTTGACACACGGCGATTACGAGACGCGCAGTTATGTTAATATGTACATTGAAGGCGTTGATGTGGCCAAGAAGCTCATTGCTGATGGTTATGCCAAACCTCTGGAATACGTAATCAGCGGTTCTACCTGCTACGTCTCACACGTGAACGGTATCTCTGATTTTTATATACAATTGGAACGTGATTGCAAGGCCTTGGAACTAATCGAGATGTATTTGCGAGATGCAGAACAGCATTTAAAGCCGTTGGAAAGCTTTGAAAAGTCTCTCATTGTGGCAGCGCTGTTTGAGGAAGATGGATTATGGTATCGCGCCGAGCTGTTGAGGCAGCTGCCCGATAATCGTTACGAGGTACGCTTCATCGATTACGGAAACACATCTTCCACACCCAAGTGTCTTCTACTCTCCGAAGAGATTGCTAATTTGCCAAGTCTCTCCAAAAGATGTACCCTAGAACTGCCAACCGACTACATATCCTGGTCGGATGAGGCTGATGCCAAATTTGCAGAAATTACTGGCGAGGGCGAGCTTGTATTCACTACAGAACTAATTCGGCCTGGCGTTAGTCATGTAGTCATACATTTGCTTTTGGACGAGGACAACATCATTGATAAACTTCTGCCACTATGCGCACGAAAGAAACCTGAAAAGGAGGTCAAACCCAAACCAAATGCCTCTTCTGAGACGTCCGCAGAGGAAGCCAAAAACAAGAATGCAGAATTAAAGGCCTGCATCACACACTTGGACAGCCCAAAATGCGTTTACTTGCAATTAAGTGACTCTTTTAGTATTATTGAAGAAATTGCTTTGAAACTTAACACAATGAAGCACCAGGTCTTCCAGGAAGATAGCCAAATTGGCGAGCTTTACGTGGCTGAAGAGGGTAATGAGTTCTATAGGGTACGACTCTTGGACGTTCCAAGCCCGAAGCAATATCGCGTAAAGTTCATCGATTATGGAAATCAAACTATGGTTAACACCCTCTACGTACTGCCCGCAGAAATGGCGCAAATTAAAGAGCTTGTTGATGTCTACACGCTCGAGCACTGTGATGCATTTGACAAAAATCCGAACTTGACGCGAGAGGCATTGGATGCGCTGGTGGATGGCTGCAACGGAGATGTCACTTTGGAGTTTGTGGATAAAACTGCCAAGCCACCGGTGGTGAAGCTAACGACTATCGGCAAGAATGAACTGAACATCTTCGATCAGTTACAAAAGCTGCTCGAAGTTGAAGTTCAGTTGAATTCAGAAAACAGCGGTGATTCCGAATGCGTCATATCGCACGGCAATTCGCCAAAAAGCTTCTACGTACAGCTGAAGAAGCACTCGGCTCAATTGGATCTAATTGTCAAGACACTTCAGGGCGTTCAGAGCAACCAGCTAAAAGCTGTGGAGAGTCTTTCTGAGAATGTTTCTGGTGTCTGCTACTCACAGGAAGATAATTGTTACTATCGATGCTTGATCAAGCAAGTTTTGGGCGACAATAAGGGCTGTGAGGTATTTTTAACTGACTATGGCAATACGATTATCACGAAGCAGGTCTATCAGCTGCTTGACCAGATTAAGGACATTTTACCACTGGCACTGCATTGCAAGCTAAGCGAGATACCAGCCGGCGTGGAGGATGCTAAGCTGGAGGAGGCCTTTACAGCGCTGGTGGAGCAACACTTTGGCGAAGTATATGAAATCGTTAATGAAATCAAAGACGAGAAGAACACACAACATGCCGTACAACTACGCATTGGTTACAAGGACTTGGCTCAGGAGCTGATTAACCAAGTTGCTGGCATACAAAAAGCCGTGTTGGCCGAGCTTCACAATTGCTTTATCGTCCAGTACAATGCTCCCACATCTTTCTATGTGCAAATGGAGAAGGATGTGCCGGCTCTAGAGAAAATGACGGATAAGTTGCTTGATGCCGAGCAGGATTACGAACCTTTTACCCAGTTGCAGGAGGGCGCCCTCTGCGCCGCTCTATTTCCTGAAGATGGGGTGTTTTATCGCGCCCAGATCGTCAAGTTGCTCGATGGTGGGAAGTGCGAGGTACACTTCATTGATTTCGGTAATAATGCAGTGACGGATCAGTTCCGCCAGCTCCCAGAGGACATGATCGCCCCGGCCCGAGTTGGCAAGCACTGTGAGCTCGAAAGCGCATCGATTGCAAAATGCGATGTGGCAGACTTGCAGGCGTTCATCGACTCTCGCTTTTCAGAGACATTCCAGGTGGAGATTCTGGCAACGGAGGGCGATACTCTTGTCGTCCGTTTGTTCTACCAGAGCACAAGCATTAGCGAGAAACTTCGCCAGCATGTCAATTAAAGGCAACTCATATCAATATGCCGTCCAATGATGTGTGTTCTTCCAAGGTAAAAAGATTTGTAAGTCGAAAAAGAAGGATGTGATAGAGTTAGTCAGCGAGAACATCTTTGTAGAGGCAAATGGTTTATTAGCTAAAAGCTAAAACTACGCACTCAAAAACACATTTATGCGTGCTTGATCGAGGCATCGATGCACGAAACATTGTGATTAGTTTGGCTAAAGCATCAGTTGTATTACATTATTTACCTAATTTAGTTAAACGAGTATGACTTCTTTAAAAAAGAGAACTGAATTCAATTTTTTAAAAAAAACTCACGATATTAGTAGGCAGCTTCACTGGTTTTTTATAAAAAATCAAACGAATGCAATATGAAAAAAAAAATGAAAAACGGAATCAATTTGTATATGAATCATATTTATTTAAAAAAAAACGAAAATCCCCCAAAAAAAATCGAAAAAAAAACGAAACAACAAAAAAAGAATTACAATGCATATGAAATGTATGAATGCGATATTTATTTGCTCAATCAAAATGAAAAGCTCGGAGAGAGAGCACTGTAAAATTTTAATTTCTTTAACTCACTTATTTTGTTACATTATCACGTTATTACTTAATCAACAAAAAAAAATTAAAAAAAAAAAAACACAAAAATAAGGCATAGGGTATAATTTAGACAATTAAAAATTTTGATTTCACACAATAACGTTGGAGAAGAAGCATACAGATCAATCCGTAGGGGATTCTGAAGCGAAAACCACTAATCATATTTTTCTACTTCATATTACTTTTTTAATGTTGTAAACAAAATAAAAAGCAATGTAAACGAATAAATAAAAAGTAGTTGTGTCATTATTTCCAAATATTTAACCCATAAATGTTGACGTTTTCAATAAGCTATTATTGATAGGAAAAGTCAGACTAGTTACGTCAAGAACGACGTAAACATAAGATTGTGTTATGTATATAGCAGCGTGAGTACACGGAAAGAAATTTTGTCCAAAACTCAGGTCAAAAGGGTTTAATTGTACTCATAGCTTCAATAACGAAATCTAAGCTCTATTGAAATGGATGTGAACACAAAATAACTTATCTCCATTTGAAAAAATAATTGTACTTAAATCAAATCATTAGGATTAATGTCTTTAGCTGGAGTTAGGAGTATGACAGAAACAAAAACTGCGAGCGACACATTAAATCTCTCATTCTTCCTTGGCTGCTCTCAGTATTCGAACACAAGTGATTGGCAATCCGTTTTTACGTTACTTTCGTCCAAGGCATAAAGATGTGGAGTTTGGGGCTTTTAACTGTTTTGAGAAGCTCGAGAACGGCTAACAGAGATACTGTTTTCCGGGTACTTTTAGGATGTGGTCTTCTTAATTATTCAGTAATTTGAAAAATTTATGTCAATTTAGAATAACACGAATCTAGTGGTTTAAAAATAAAAAAATCTACACTAATCAAGATTTTGCAACATTTAAAAATATACGTTAGACAAAATAATGTACCTTTTTTTATAATCATTTCTAAGCTCTTCAGTGCCTCAGTGTTTAATATTTCTTTAACAAAAAAGTCCTTAAGTTTTTCTATCCGTGTAACTTCATATTTCCATTAGCTTTTGCACAGGCTCGTGCTTTTTTCATTAAAATATTAAATATTTTGTGACAACGAAGGCGTTCCCAAAGATTGGTTAACGTTTAATTGCTAATTGAATGGAGACAGCTTAGCTGAATGGGGAATCGAGCCACAACTGGCAAAATAACAGACACAACAAAAATAACAACTCAATTCTAAGTAGTGTACAATCGTATTTGGTCGTAGTCTCTGTCCCAATTGTTATCATTAGTTAGCAATAGCAGAAAACGAGTGCAGCCGAACAACAATGAGAGCGCCGCAGCCCTGGTTCTAAGAGAGATAGATAGGGAGCGAGAAAGAGCGAGCTAATGCTCTCCAATTTTTATTTTCGGTTTTTCAATCTCACTGCACTATCTTTGTTTGTGTGCTCGTGTGCGAGCGCTGCTTTATCAGGCCCGAAAGGCAACAGAAACGATCTTTCCCCGTTTGCTCATTTAATTCAAATTCTACGGTCGAATTGAATGGTTCCGGTGATGCTCAACGGTCAGTGTAAATGAATAGTGAACACGGAAGGCGCACACAATTCGAAGAACACGAATCTGCAGATGCGAATGATTTTGAAAATATCTAAAAGCGAAATACATAATAGTGAGATTTGAAATATGTTTCTGAAAGCAATTGCTGAGTGCGATCGAGAATATGCCTAAGTGAAGACAATCGATTTGCAATAATGCATAATAAACGAAAATATACCAGGATTCTTGGCTAATCTAAAGGGTAAGTCTTAGGCTACAGTCCGTAGTGTATTGCGTATTCCGTTGCGATCTCTTCAATAACATGCAGCATAATGAAATAAAACAGTTAAATTGGTTTCAATTGAATGCTGTTGGGGCGAGGCCGCAAATTGAAAGTATAGTAGAGTGCACCGAGGCTTTTGTAATAATTTAAAGTACCTAAGTACATAAATATATATATATGTATATACTTGTATATTTGGATCAAAGTACCCGCGAAGTGCTGTAAAAACTAATACGGCAATTAAATTTAATAGTCCCCGACACCTGCTAGGCGCACAACATTTTTCAGGCCTTATCAAATGGACCGTTATCTTAATACTTACATACGAGTGCTGTACATATAAAGATTAAAACGTGTACGTAAGTACATACTAAGTAAGTATGTAGTAGTATGTATGTCATGACAGATAGTATGATGGGAGAAGCGGACAAATGCCACATACGTATTCCAATTTTGATTCAAGCTGTAATAAATATACTTGTATTAAAAAGACAAAGTTTAACAGATGTCTTATCAAAATAGCCTTGGGATAAGTGGTGGCTGAACCGAATTTATAAAAATTGGAAATTCCTTATCACTGTTTTTTGATTAATAACGCAAAACATTCGCTAGAAATGGGCTTATTCCATTTCTACCCGTTTTCTTTCCTTGTATACATATTTAGTTTTTCCTTGATCTCGTAAATATATAAATGGAGGAGATATGTGTATACTTCCTAATAGGCTTCAAATTCTTACAAGGTTTTAAGCTAAATGGTCCTAGTTTTCCGTAAAAACAATATATTTTAAATATGTATAAATATATAAACACGTTATTTTTTTATCTCAAGGGAAAAATGTTACAATTTCGCAATTTGAATTGTTTTCTTTGCTGTTTGGGAGGAGATGTTGCGATTCTTTCCCTGTTTGAAAAAACTACCATCATGGCATTGCAGAAAATTGATTTCTTGGCTCTTTGGGCAACGATAATTAAATATTCTTTAAAACAAAGTACTATTTCAATCGGTATGTTCTGCCATTTTCATCTAGAAATTTGATTTCTTGGCTCCCTAAGGAAAAATAAATTTCGCTTCTTTTATACTATACTATATATTGCTTTTGGGTTTTGCAGAGTTTTGTTTTCTTTGCTCTGTGGGGCAAAATAAAGCATTTACTATATTCTTGATTGCATTTAATTGAAATAAATGAGCATGGCATCGTTATTATTGTTGTTGTTTTTTTTTTTCAATTAACTTTCGGTTGCCACACCACAAGTTTGTTTTCGTCATTGTTCGCGTCTTGACGCGATAGTGTTCGAGTCGTGCCGAGCATTGGAAAAGTTATGCGGCCGATAAAGGTAGTCTATAGTGCTGAGGGGGTCAGATAAGGTTCTCGAAAACCAACTAGAGCATACAAATATACATATATGCTACATATATGCTCTTTATGATTACGCACTTATTTTTCTGGATTATCAAGCGAGAAAAGGTTTCAACAAAAATAAAAGTCTAAACAAATAAATCTTTATCAGACGAGTCAAAAAAGAAACCAAATAAATCTCTTTGCAAGCAATACATTATACTTGTACGAGTAGTGTACGGTTTACACACCTGTTGAAGGCGCCCAATCGCGCACACACATACATACATATACACCCGGAATTCATATTTATAGGGCCCTGAAACGCCCACAAATGTGACAGAAGTATTCATAGAAGCGCATAAATCTATTCACAAATGTTTAGAATGTTGTTAAAATATTTGAAACTAATTTAAAGTTTTTTGTAGGCTCTTCTAAATTATTTAAAAATTTAGGATTTTGGATTTCTTGTTCACATACATGCTAGATATATATATGTATAATAATCACCGCTGGGACTGGCGCAACGGTATAGCCATAAATAATGCTATTAATTTTCGATGTCATAACTCTTTCGTTAGATAGGTTGTAAGCCCTTGTCCGACATTTATAATTCCTTTTTGCTGCCACCCCACATTGCCGTATTGTTTCTGTTTACTTTGGCTTTTGATTGAGACCAATATATGTATATAAATAAATATTGAACAAATGCGGCCAAAGTGGAAAACATAAATTCCACAACAATAGGGCCGCCTCCACCTACATACGTATAAGTAGGAACATATATCTATACATATATATATATATATATATATATATATATATATATACGCACATATAAGGCCTGTTGTCTATTCGCCCGATTCCGCCGATTCGGCGATTAGGGGGAAAACTTTGACTGTGGCACTTCCATCATCTGTTTTATTGTTGAAGTGGCTTTGGTGAGTTTCCATTTGTGTCCGCCGGATCTCTAACATTAGCCCTTTTTATTGCCAATTCTTTGAATTAAAGCCCCAGAAATGGTCGGCATCACCCACACCACTATTAAATTCCTTTAAAAAAAAAAATAAAACCGAAAATAACACATTGTGTACCAAAGCGCGTGGCATAAGTTTGCAGTTGGCTTTTGGTTGCCGCGAGAATGCTTTGTTTTTCTTTTCCTACATACCCTTTACATAACTAAAGGAGCATCATAGGTTTCAAACAAAAGAGAGTTGATGAATTAGTACACTGGTGAGCAAAAATTGGATTATGCTGATTGTCAACAGACAATCGAAAGTTCGTAAACAGAGATATGGGTCGATGAGTCTACTATAAAGTCCCCAAATATTTTGAAACCAGCTTCTCGTACGGTTAGGAGAATATGTGGATTACTCAAAACGTTCCAGTTTTGCAGATATCAGAAACTTACAATAGTAAAACATTGTAAAGAGTATTACAGCATCGGCCGTCCCACAGTTCCGTTTCAGTCTTTAACTTTTGAAATTCAATTCAAATTTGAGAAATGTATGACATATATTTATAGCCATGGCTATTATTGGTATTGGTTGGTGTTTGCGGTCAAATAACCCCCTTTTCCACAAAATTGCTAATTTTGATCGATGAATCACTGTAGAATACAATGATATTTCATTGTTAGTCGACGTACTAACTGTAATATTTATAATACTTATTTAAAAAAAAAAAACTTATCACCGGCGTCATGGGGTCTTAAAACGCCAACTATTAATACCATGCAATATGTTGGCATGAAGGAGCTTAGAAACACGTTTAGTAATATACCTTTTAAGGTGGTCTGGTCTATCGATCAGTCCAGCCAGGTTTTCTGCTAATTTTTGTGCAAACATGTCAAGCGTTTTTCAAAATTTGAAGGTTCAATTGTAATCATAACGTGTTTTAAAGGAAACACTTTTCGATATGTTTCAGACGGCAACTTTATACTTTTTGCAAATCTACGCAAATATTTATATGCCAATATACGTATAATAATAATTGCACATATCAACAGAAATAAAGGTCTTCTTGATATCCGACCCACTGGAATTCCTTCATGCAATGCGGACTTTGGCAACGAACAAGAGAGCGGCTACGCTAATAATAATAAAAGCATGTTGTATATATATATGGGTTTTTGGGCTGCCCGGCCAAGTTGCGTACTTTAAACTATAATTTGACTACCCATCTTTGATCATATAGGTATATATTTAGGTAATTATAACGTGCGTTCGTGTTCGTTCAGAAAAATGCATTTGCTGTAAACAATGAATGCTTTATGATAATCGGAAAATGAAAACTCACAGTATCACTTAAATAAACAAGGTTTCGTTTTCACAATATAATTAAAATAAATCACGCAAATGTTTTGCAACATTTGGCGGATTGCACGTGAATGAAATGTACACCAATTCAGCTGCAAAGTCATTTGCTCATTACATGTTTTCTTTATTGGAGTTTACAGCTGCTTGCGATAAGAAGACATGCAAATGGGCTAGCTTTTTTTAAAAAAAAAAATTCGGATAAATCAGTTTACCTCACTGAATCACTTAATGATTCATTCCACAACACCTACGACAGATAGAGACATAAAATGTGCACACAAGTCTCCTTTTCTGATGAAGATACTCACTATGAAGTTAAATTTAACCCGCAAGTGGGTGAACATTTTAATCAAAGTCTAAGAAACTAAGAGCTAATGCGATAATGGTTGTGGCAATACAAAAAGCAATAGAGATAAAGAGCTACATACCTACATATTTAGCAAAAGTTTCTGGAATTTGGGCCGCTATTAAAAAGCAAATGCCATATTTCTGAATTATCTTATATTCGAGAAAATATTAGGGTTTTCAGAGTTGAGCTGAGCGCATTTATAGGAAGATTAAAACTACATTAGTTGTCCTATTAGATGTGGCGTTTATAGCTTGTAATGCCAATATCTTCAATATCAGCACTTTTTAAGAACAATCCATTATAGAAAGATCTATACCAAAGACATTTATTCTTCAGGCGCAACTGAAATTGACTTTTAGCAGAAAGCATTTATCCTCAGTATATTGTTTAATTGAGTGTTACTTGTATTCTCAATACGTGATTTTTGTAAAGTTCTCTTCATAATCTGGCCCCAAGTACTTTTCTGCGTACGCTGATAGAATCGTTTGAGATGTGAAAAACAATATTATGGCGCATTCTACTTATTTATTTGGTAAATAAATAAATTGTTAAAAAATCATTGCAATAACATCTTGTAGTATTAGAAATGCCATCCAAGTCATAGCATCTTGTGTGTATTTTGATTCGCCTAGAAATGTATTTTTAGTTTCATCAAAATGTGTAAAAAGTCAGCCGAAATTAGCTTTTAATCCATAGCCATATAAAAAAATGTAATTAAGTTTTCAATCCCCCAATCAAAACAGAACTTTTATGCTTCTCTTTCGGTTAGTAAGGGATTCTATACGCGTATGTGCCATATTAATTTTCGATTTTTGTTTTTTATTTACGCATTTTATGAAGCATTAAAAGTGTTCATGATTTATGTATTTGAATCATGGTGTTCCAATATCTTATATTTGTATTTAATATTCAAAGAAAATAAACTGAAATGTGAAAAGATTCATCTTTGTTCCGGATGTAGGAAAATGTGAAATACTTAGATTGCAATCGTCTGCTTCTGACTCAATTTTCTCAATTACTTACGGAATGTTTGATTTATCTATATATGCGTGTAGTCATCGTTTTATTTTTTTTACATGAAAATATAGTGTGATAACGTTCTGAAGAAATGTGGACTCATTCGAGAACCTGCCTTTGCTTGTTCATATCCGACAATTTTTATTTTCATGATTAGGCTATAAGTAGACAAACAGTCAACTGGAAATGCCGGCATATTATTCTCTCTGACAAGATTAAAATAAAAAAATACCTTTTGGCACTGATTGAAGGCATTTAGCACACGTCCAGCTAAGTCCGATGCACAAACCGTGCGTATACGTGATGTTCCATATGATATACAAGTTCAGACGATAATTGACCCACGTTTATACATATTATACATATGCATATACATATATCTACCTATATATGGGTCTATTCATTCAATTTGTTTGTTTGTTTGTTTGCTGTTGTCAACCTTTGGAGACCAGCCTTGTTGCATTGTCCATTTATTCTCAGTTGTTGGGTGGGAGGGAGGTAGGAGGGGTAGATTCGCTTGATTGAACGCTTTGAGATCGAGCTACCCATCTAGCTACCTATAGTGGGTCACTAAATGGTCCACAATGACGTGGCAATGATCTTGTAATTTGTTAATTTTAAAATAATCGTTTTGGGGCTGCTCCGCGAATTCGTTTCTGTGTCGGGTATTAAGGTTTTATTTATTTTGTTTGCTTTGATTAAAACAATAAACACATTCGCGCTTCAAGATTTATCTGCATGCTAAATATATGGCGTCTGATTTATTTGCATTTAAAAGTTTAGAGCCAAAATTTATTTAGTTCTTTAGAAACAAAACGAAAACACAAAAATGTTTTCGTTGTACCAACAAACAAAAAAAGCAACAAATATTCTTTGTTATAAGTTTTCCATTACAATTATTTATTTTCTGATTTTAAGAGCATGGACCTGCATTGGCTGCTACTTACAATATTCTGCACCCTTGGTCTGAGCAAAGCGCTGGCGTTCGTATTTGTAAACCAAGACGAACACAAATGCAAATATGGGCGCATCGAGAAGCTGATGCGGATACGCTGCCACGACATGAACCTCAAAGAGGTGCCACAATTTCTAAAGACATCAGTGGAGGTAAGTTGTAACATATAGGGGTTTTGTCTGGATGTATAATATTTCCATTATATTCTGATTCCAATTCAATCTAAATGTCAAAAACACAAATTGGCCCATATTTCCAGTTTATTGTGCTTATTTATTTTAAATGGACGCCAGATTTCCACAATTTGTTTTTGTTTTATTCATCTTAGCTGATCGGGGCTTTTTTTTAATGGGGTGAGATGGCGGCGTAAAACTAAAACAAGTTTGGCCCGTATTTTTTTTTTTTTTTTGTTTAATATAAGAAAACAAAATAGGGTTCTTTATAATACTTCTATAATACTATACATCTGTCGTTTAAATAGAAAAAATGATAAGGCCTATATAAAATGTTATAGGACAGGATACAAAGGAGGCAGGTGTCTGCAGATGCGATCTGCAAAAAAGCAGAACGTACTCAAGAATTCTAAATTTCTGTTTTGCTCAATTATTTTTCTTGAGCTACACACAACTTTGTAAATGATATTGATATATTAATCATATCAACCACCATCTTCGATACATAGCTGCTGCATCACCAATGAACTATGAGGTCAATGAGCGCTTATAATAATAACGAATAAGATCCATACTGCATATACTTATGCCCGATACAGAATATATGCGACATTATTTAAGCAGCAGAAGTCCACGCTCGACAGACCGCCTTCTCAATTGAGTTTAATTAAAGCATCCAGAATGCCAGTAAGTTACAAATATTTACAGTGGTATATCGAGAAATAGTATAGAGTGGATTGAAAATCTAAATAATGTATAATAACTTGAAAATTGTCCATTAAAACAGCCAAATTGAACTATAACTATTTAACTATATAATAGCAGTTCGACTTGAATTAAGCAATAGCAACAGTAGAAAATTGTCTTTGGTTTATAGTTTTGTAATTTATATGATAATACCAGATGTAATAAAGCCTTTCCTGGCAATAGTTGAGCATCACAAGTTGAGACGTAAAGGCGTATGATTTGTGAAATATTTGGTATTCAGGACTACTTTTAACTAAATCCTAATTCCTCTCTAGATGGGCCACCAATGTGGAACTAAATTATTAAAATTATAAAAAAACGGCGTTTCGTTCTTCACAATTTAACGCTAAATAATTAAAGGTGGAATTATTCACAACTCCTATCCGCAAGTGTACATAATACACATATATTGATGTTCATTCACTTACAACTAAATTTCGTTTCCATTTTACAGGTTCTGGACTTATCATTTAATCGCATCAGAAAACTGAAAAAAGCCTCATTTGAGAAATACACAGACATTAAATTTCTGATACTCTATGAGAACATGATATCTTCGGTGGAGCCGGGTACATTCTCACAACTGACCGCGCTGCAGGTGATTATTAATTAGAAAACGAATTCACACACAATTATTTATTAATTATTGTAGGAGTGCGAATTGATAAAATCCCACTCCAGCCCATACCTATCTATGGAGCATTGCATTATTTAAACAGAATCAAGCTTACTCATTGTACTTGTGTTACAGGAAATTGATCTATCAAACAATGGTCTAACGACAATTCCCATGGAACTTTTCCAATTGCCAAAATTACGAAATCTGTACGCAGACAGCAATGACTTGGTGTATCTGGAGCAAGACCTACAGACGCTGACAAAGCCAATACGAGCACCTCTGGAGTATTTAAACATAGCCAATTGTGAATTGCATGATATACCCGATCTGGGCATATTGCCAAGTGAGTGAACACCTCTTGCTTTCAGCTAAGATCCCTCCCCCATTATATGCGTATGTGCCTCTCCCGCAGATCTGTGGCAATTGAACGCCTCGTCGAATCCATTACAAAATTTCAACATCGATAAATTGGCCAATTTGTGTCATATGAGCGTCATCGATCTGACAAAGACTCAAATCAGCCAATGTAGTTGCCAGCAAGTGAACAATCATCTGTACAGGTTGAAGGCAAGTCCAAAGTTTGTGCCCGTTTGTATGGGTAAGTGCATCGCATTCTAATTTTGGCCTGTGACCAACATTCATAATTTTCCATTTTTCAGACACACTCGGCACACATGAATGTCCACTGCCCTATAATCGGACTGTAGACTCGGCGACATTTCACAGCTGCCTCAATCGTTTCGACGAGGTGGAGGCGCAGAATCTGTGGATTTTTGTTTGCGGTTGCATTGGCGGCTCCATCGTCGTTCTACTAGGTGGGTATTCATCATTCTCTCATGAGGCCTCCCCATTTCTATCTCATTTTGCTTCACAGTTGTCTGGTACTGCATTTATAAGTGGCGTAAGAGACGCGCCAAAAAAAAACCGAGACAGAGCCGAGCAGTCGTACAGAATCGCAAGAATTTTGTGATCTCGCCACGCAATGCGATCAACAATCGGCAGGTGGATGAAGGCGAGCCTCTTGCACTGTGATACTGATTACTGCCCGATATACTTGTAGAATGAAATGTGCATCTAGTTATAGTTAAACCTAGATAGATTGTAGTTTTTTGTATACATATGTAGTTCAAGCTATTTATTTGTTTTGCTTTAGTCTAAGTTAGCGCATTAGTACAAGTACAACTAACCAAAAGCCATATACTAGGAGTACATACATACCAAAAAATGCCTTGCTCAAGTGTAATCTTCAATATTTGGGGAATTGAGCTTCGCTTTAGAAAAAGAGCGATCTGTTTTAGAATACATCCATGGGTGCCTTAATTTAAATCAAGTGATGTAAAGTAGCCATCCAAAGTACAATTGTGCTACACATATAATTAGTACGTATGAGAATTGAAATAGATGATTTTGCTTTTATATTCAGAAAATTTTACTCGTATTGCATTAAATATATAAATTAACCATAAAAACAGAGAAAAATCAAGAATTTTGTAAATAAATAAACCTAATAGGAATAAATACGATCATACCATTCTTAGCAATTTTTTTTAAATTGTTGTTTAAAAACTTACTTGGGAATTACAGTCAAATGTAACGAATAAACTAAAAAAAAAAAATCACTGAATTTGGAAAACGAAACAGTAGTATTGGGATACTTAAATCAAGATACAAATTCTTATATTCATATTTTGGAATGAATTAACTTTAATTTCAGTTCTTTCTAGTTTAATGTTGAACAATCACGATAGAACTTGATTTAAAAACACGCACTTTTTATATGTTTATCGATCATTGCAAGAGCTTCTACGAAGTCCAATCGTAACTGAACATTTAACTCTGTTTATGAAGTTTGATAATTAGAGAGAACAATGTTACCTTAAGTATAAAAATTTTTTATACTCATCCAGCTAAAACCAAATGCAGTAAATTGTTAAAATATATTTTTATTACTGATTGATGTTTTTCTAGCATTAAAATTCTCCACATCGTAGCGAAATTACAATTTTTCACATCCTCAGCTATTACAAATTTCCCAATTGGCTGCAAGCTTCTAACTGATAACTGTTGATCTATTGATAAGACAGCTCACATCTCTAGCCAGTATTTTGTAACTGATTTTGATGCGCCCATGCAATACTATTAAGAAATTTTCCGTATCTTAACATCTCCGCTCGCATATCAACTTGGATATTGTGGGCCTGCAATTTCTGTAATCGATTTCTAAGCACGGAATCGCGTTTCTGGGTATGCTCATGCATATCCCTAATAACTTGATGACGCGCATTCAACCACTCGTGTGTTCTTTTTGCATGGTAATTGCGCACTGATTCATCTACTCTCTCCATTCTGTTAGATAGCTCATCTCGCTTTAACTGATTAAGCATCTTTCGACGCCTCTGGACTGCTTCGTGTTTTTGATTCATTGATTGCGGTGTAAAGTTAGGCTGGTATGGGGAGGCAAATTTCTTTGGCGGCCTTTGATTCGCGTCACTGAAATGCACATAAAACGATTCATTTGGCGGTGCTGTTGGTGTTTCCCTGCTAGCGGAGTTCCAATAATAAAATCTGTCATTGTAGTACATTTTTAAAAATTAAAAAAAATTCCCAAATTTTGCTTGATTTTGCCAAAATATATAAAGTTTTTGACAACGGAGAACTTAGATTACATATGTATGTTATCATAAATATGTAAAGGCAAGAATAATACCTTAATCACCATACCGCGAGATAATGTTTTTAATTTCGATTTAAATACGCTAATCATTTCGAGACTTAAATTTCTTTCGCGCTGGTGTAAATAACGGTGCTACTGTTATTTTTAAAATAGGACTGCCGGACTATTGGTATCTAATTTTAACAGATTGGCAGCAATTAAAACATATGTTATTTGCATCGCGCGCTATTTTATTCTTTTTGTGGCGTTGATTCTTATGTTAAGCTGTTGTTAGTAGTAATAACTGTATTTATGTAGCTGTTGTTTTTATTAAAAATGTTGAATTTGAATTGTGTTATATGTGCGGAATTGTTTGCGCAGTCCGATGAGGTCTACGTAACAATTTGCGGCCACATGTTCCATCACACCTGCCTAATGCAATGGCTGGAACGGTAAGCGAAAATCGACATAAGTGCAGGAGTGAGAAACAAATATACAGCTATTTCCGGCCAGCTCCAAAACGTGTCCTCAATGCCGCAATAAATGCACTACTCGCAACATATGGCGCGTGTACTTCAATCTGGCCAACTTGGATGTAAGTCGCATTGATGTGGGTTCGCTGCAGGAACAGCTGGACAATGCAAATCTGGCCATGAAAGTTAAGGATAAGGAATGCACAAAGTTGGAGCAGCAAATGAAGGAGTTAAAGGAAACACAAAAAAAGTGCCTGTAAGTATACTGATCGGGAAGCCAGAAAGATTCATCCATTAATTTATGAAATTTAATTTACAGGAAAACCATTGCGGGGCTAGAACAAAAACTACAGAAGAATGATTTTCTGGTCTGTTCCTATGTGGAACAAATAAATATTCTGAAGAGTGATGCCAAGGTGGTAGATGAGCTACGTAAAGAAAATAAAACATTGAAACAGCAAATTCAGGCAATGGAAGATCTTTCAGCGATTATGAAGGCCAATGCAGGAGACGCTGAGCGTATGCTGAAAAATGAGTGTAACCCGCAGACCCTCGCTAGTTGGGTATCGATCCTAAAACGGTAAAATAGTGTGTAGCTCTATCCATATAGTGCATTAAAATATCAACTTGACAGGGAGCTACGACAATGCGAAAACAAGAAGACTGAGCTGCGGAATGTGCTTAAAGTGGTACAGAGTGATTTGCGCAAAGAGCTGGAATTGAAACGGTACGTATGTTATTTATATACAAATAATTCCCGTAATACAAACATAATTTGCAGTAAATTTGAGGAGCGAATTTCGCAACTTGAAAGCGATTTCTACCAGGCCCAAGAAAAGGTAAGCCAATTGTAGTCAGCATGAATATTCCAATTTTAAATAACACACTGTTCCAAAAACAATGTAGCTAAAAGCGCTTGATTCGCAACCTATCACTATATTGGATTCACCAAACTCTATTATGGGTCTAAAGAACAATGTTCTTGCATTGAAACGTGAGGAGAGGCGGTCCACAATCTCACCTACTATTGTATGTTTTTTACATACCATGTTTACATTTAAATAACCATACGTATTGTTTGCTCCTCAGAAAGAAAATATCAAGCGAATCGAAGAATCTACTTCCCCATACCTCAATATCAAGTCGAGCAGTGTGGGACTCGGAACCTTGTTAAAGTCGAAAAGCGCACTTGAAGGACTAAAATTGTCACCTATTAGAAATGGGACTGGTATTTCGATGACCACTGGCGCTGTTCGCAAAGCATCCAGCCATCTTTCTGAAAAGGTATTTCTCGTTAACATGTTTGAAGAATACTTAATTTTAACTAGCTCCAACTTGTAGTATTCAATTTTGAAAAAACCACGATTGCTCCTTGGTGGTACAACGACAACAATGAAACCCCTTAGTTCAAATTTTGTCTTTAACGGCTTCGGTGGTTCTGAAAAGATAGATCCATTCGCGGAGCGTGCAGAAGAGGAGGCCGTAGCAACGACCAGCAAGCCAATTCCTAAGAATATTAATGATCGTCTTAAAGCTGGTGCACTGCGAAACTTTAAGCTGTCAAAATAGAAGACTGTAAACATTCTAGATTATATATCTTCAAGACTGTGTAAAATGAAACAAACACGAGCAATTTCGAGACGGTATCCTTCCGATAAATACTGGAAGCAAACTACAAGTTATTTTTGCATGCTTTTATCTCCAAAAAAATTGCTCGCAAAAGGTTGTACTCCTTTATAATGTTGCCGAATGTATAAAACCTATTATGTTGTATAATCCCATATAATTTATTAGTTTGTAATGTATGCGATAATTGGTTATTAATTTAGCTCAGTAATTATATAAAAATATGTAGAAATATAAAAATGCATTAATACATTATAGGTAGGGGGTGGCCGATGAGTGAACGACAATGAGTGTTTTTTTAATTATTAGCTGTATAAATTTTAGGCAGCAATTTTCTTCTCCGCCGTCCCCGTCCACTCCTCGCGAAGCTGCACACTACAGCCAAGATCCCGCAGTGCGGCTTTTATGTCCTGCGCCACGCTCGGGTGCTCTATCATGGCAGCGTTTAGTAAATCCTCGGTGCCGTATGTGAGCCAAGTTTCGCATTGATTCCGGGAACGTGAAACCATGTTGCGTATAGCCCAGGCACCATTACGCTGTACTAGTTTGTGCTTGGTGTGTGCGCGTAGCGCCTCCACCATAATTTCGGCAATGCCTGTTTCGAAGAAGGCTGTGCTGTGCTCCTTAACGCGTAACGTTAACGTTGTTATGCAGGCCAATGCCGCGGAAACAATAGTCTCATTTGACAAATTGTTCTCCAGCACTTCTTTAATGATTGGAGCCGCACCTTGCTGTACAATGTGAGCTTTGACTGTATCATGACCAGCCATTGCTCGCAGAAGCTTCAAGGCTTCGCGGTTCAGACGCACTACATCCACATTTCTGGTCATTATATCGAGAACTAGCTTTAAGCCACCTGCTTCATCTATGACAGTACATAGCTCCTGGCGCACGGTCAGTGCTCCAATGGTAAGCAGCAAGTCGGCTAGCACATTGACATCATTGTACGCTGAACAGAAAAAAATGAAAATAAATGAGAATGAAAAACATTTTGTTATTGAATTCACTTACTAGATAGCATATCCACAAGCTGCAGCAGAACTTCGCCGGCTATTTGGCGAGCATGTTCGTGAGCACAACCAAATTCCACCCGTATGTCATCGTCTAGCACAAGAAACCGGAATACAGCCGTCAGCTCACGCACCAAGCGAGCGTTATCTTTACACAGCATTGGCTTCATTAGTTGGACCGCATTGGTTTTCATGATGTTCTGACGATTTATCTCATGCATGACACACGCCTTCTGCAACCATTGCAATGTGAGGCAAGTGATGTCTACTTGATCCTTAAGATTTAGTAATTTAAGGACGACCGCCATGGCTTGCTCATCGAACAAATCGGGTTGCTTGTTAGTCAAACTGTTTGCGGCTTGCAGGCACTTGGCAATTAACGTGGCGTCGAGCGTCTCGGGGTCGGACAAAGCAGTCTCCAACAGCGTAATGAGTGCGCCCTGGGCTCCGATTTTTCCGGCGAGCACTCGATGTGGTAGCGATTTTTGGCACTCCATGTCTAAAATGGTTAAGTACTCCAAAATCTTTTGTACATCCGTGTCTTTTTCGGTAATGTGCGTTTTTATGTTATCGATGGTTTCATTAATTATAGGCTTTCCAGATTCAGCATTGATGGCCAAATCCTTTATAATGTTAGCCAGGTTTATTCCCTATGCGATAGAAAAGACATATTAATGGCCTTGTTGATGACTAGTCTCATCACCTTTGTCTTACACACACCTGTGCCTCAAATTGCTTTATAGTCTCCTCCCTCGCCTCGGCCGGGCTCATTGAAAAGTCAATTATATTCTCCTGCACAACACCATCAAAGGTGTCTTGGGAAATCACCTTGGCCATTGTTTGAAATATACTTTTGAAAGAAAAGAAAGTTCCAATAGCAGCACTTTAAGTTATAGTTCGCTCCCCTGTTCATCCACTGTCACACATACAGCTGCAGCTTTGCCACACATACACATCAGCTACAGCCCACACAGCTGTTCCAAACGAGTGCTGCCAACTCTCTTTCAAAATTTGATTGCGATTCAATTTAAAAATTTGGTTTCTGTTCCCGTGCCTCAAATGTGGGCCTAAAACAATTTTTATTGCTAACATTTTTTACTTGCCTACTTGCCTAAGTTTAAACAATTTATCATATAAATATGGCTATGTAGGAGTGTCAACCCAGGAGTGTTGGGAGCTCCTTTAATCTGGCGAGACCCTAAGAAAGTAGTATTAATATGGAGTTGTCTTATGTGACTTCGATTTCGTTTTGCTCTTCAGGTCCTTGCTGCTACTGGCCGAGGTGCTTGAAGTGTTCGTTGTCCACACTGTCACAATGCCACTCTCTCCCCCTGTGACAAGCAAGTTTCGCTTCGAGTCGTAGAGACTATCACGAACTATTTGCTTATTGCCCACGAAGTTTGCTAACGGAGTGAGCGTCTCCTTATTGCTGATACTAACAGATCGCATAATCTCTCTGCAAAAGTAAATACATTATTGAAGCGCTTATCTTGTCCATACTAACACTTACCCTTTATTGAAATTGGTGCCAGCCAAAAGAAACACTCCGTTATCTTCCAAATTATGAGCGTTTATCAAGTTAAAGTTGGCTGCATTCTTACGTCGAATACTTTCAGTTATGGCGGAACGCTCAAATGCTGCTAGTTCATCACCCTCCTGGCACTCATAGCTCTTGAAATCGTTTGTGTGTGTAATGCAGGAAATGACATCCTGTTCAAAGACGTTTCGATGCCAATTCAACCTTTGCACACTGCTCTCCGTATTAAAGGTGTTCAAAAGCGCTTCATCCTCAAAATTTTCTTGGATGTTGTACACATTGATCAATCCATCGGTGGCTCCCGAACACAATAGATCCGGTTTGCGTGGATGAAATCTTATAGATGTCACATCATCTGAATGGCTCTCGAAATATGCACCCAGGTGCTTCCTTTCCCTCACATCGTAAAACAGAAGGCAGGCATTATTCGAGTACTCTTCCGTACCAGTGCACAAAATTCGCCCATTTGCATTACAATCAAAGCACGTCATCGATTTGGGTATAACCGGAAAAGCATTTTTAACATGGTTATACTCAAATCTCGCTTGCTCTCCCGTAGTACGCAAGTCAAAGAGCCGTACCACACCATCAGTGGTACCCACCAGCAGCGTGTCGGGACCACTGTCAAGAAACCCGACACCACAAATAGTTATTACCTTCCTTTTACCTGTTGGTAGTATCTTTGGTACACGGTCCAAATATACCGCACTTAGATCACCAGCAGTCGAAAGGTCATATAATTGTACGGCAGTGCTGGATAGACCAGCGGCTATACGCACAAAGGTACTATCTGCACAAATTTTCAAGACATAATCATGCTTTAGGGAAACCACTGACTCATCCTGCGGTTTGAAATGCAATTGAAACTGAGCTGTCAATTCAGGAGCGCTACAGGTATCCTCGTCATCGATATCAGCCTCGTCATCAGAACTGGGCAAAGCAATTAAAGCGGCTTCTACAAGATTAGTCGTTTAATTTATCCATACCTTTACAATGAAATTAAATAATCTACCGTCAACGTATTTATCAAAAGCTGCCATTTGTTCTACACTCCGCACGTGCAATAGTCTTCCTCTTACACACACAAAACCATTCGCAACGATACGCGCTCAGATAAAAGTAACTGAATCCATAAAATTAAAACAAGATAGAACGTCACAGTCGAGCAAAGTAAAATACCCTGTACTCTCCACAATTTAAAAACAAAATTATTTAAAAAAATTTCATTAATTAATTAAATTAAATAACAAAATATTCAACATATGCATACATACATAAGTGGTTATGTACAATGTCAATAGAATAAATTTACATCAGAATCTTGTCTCTGCGTATTTGTGTGTATGTATGCAGCACAAAGTAGAACCAAAGCAGCAACACCAACTGCAGGCAGAGCATGAGTAGAATTATATTTATGGTTATAACTTTCTTTAGAATTGACCAATCATGACGGAACTTAACATGCGGACACATAATCACTAACTGGATGTAACACCCAAATTTGAGTTCAAAATTCCAAAAATTACGGGAGTTATGGAAAAACGATTTGCGGGGAAGTGGGGGGTGCATCGAAAAAAAAACTCAAACTCGAATTATCTAGAACTTACGAGAATCTGAATACCAAGTTTGGTTATTCTAGCTCTTATACTTTTTGAAATCCTTCCGTTCATACAAACAGACGGACATGGCTATATCGGCTCGACTTGTCATCCTCCTTCTCCCTGTTACATATATTCGCACAAATCTAGTATATTCTTTTACCCTTTGGGTACAGGGTATAAAAACGTAAATATTTGCGCTCCTTCTTCTAACCTCAGCGAATATGTATGTTCTGGTTTTTAATAATCTCAACATATTTTGTTAAAGCTCAGCTTCCATTATGCGTTATTGTGAAAGCATTTTCAGAAGGCAAATTACATATACCCGGATTTAGTAATCTTTAATATCGCATTTTATTATGATACAAAAGTGAATTTACAAGAAGCCGTTTAGAATATGACATTTCTATAATTTAATACAAGTACCTAATTATTCCATATTTTGTAATCTGCAAAATGTTCGTTGAGGTTTCTTGATTGCTTGACTTGTCGTTAAACTAGTTATAAATGTATATGTCTGTATATCAATCGCTCTTTCTATTTACTGTGTGTTGTGTAAATATATGCATGTTTTTATATAGTATGTGTATTCATAATCAGTATGTCGCTCTAAGCCAACATTCATAATCAACAAAGGACTCAAATTCCTGCACAGTTTCTTCCAACAAGAACTCTTCAACAAGCAACTATGTATTTAATAATCAGATAATGGGGTGTACTGTAGATTTCGTTTTACATAAAATCATCGTAATCGTCGGTAAAATCATTTCCATATTTCTGGTAGCCATCAATATCCTAAAAAAAAAATCATTAAAAAAATGCTTAAAAACCGAAAAATCGTATTCACATACATCATTTTCAGTACGCAACGAAACTTTTCCTTTGGCCTTGGCAGCGGCTTTCTTACTATTTGCTTTTTCCATTTTTATTTTTTCAGAGTGTAAGCTTTCTACGCTCATCTTAATCTTCTTAATGTCAGCAGCACTTACTGTAAAAAAAATGTTGACACATTAAATAAAAAATAAACCTAAATAAGGAATAACTTACAGTTAACGCATATGCTGCGCACTAGATCTTCGACAAACTGTGGGAAGTGTGGTGATTCTCGGTATTGTGCTAATTTCCAACTAAGCGTTGCCCCAAACTCCTTAAACTCTTCATTGCTTTGGGGATTGAATGCATCAAGGCCGCCACCTATACTCGTCACCCCAAACGTGTCTAGTGCACTTTTGAGATCCGACTCTTCCTGTATTTTCTGCAGACGCAATTTCTCAGCCAGTTTCTCTTCTGATGTCAGATTGGCCAGTCGTTTTTCCTCTTCTTCCTCATTTATCCGCTGTGGATAAGCTTTTCATTTAATACCTATTATAAATAAAATAGTTCATATACAAACCTCTTGTTCAGCTAATTTGGCTTTGAGTGCTTTATTCGGTTTCGTTTTTGCTGGTACTTCTGTTTTTGTGGGCTTCTCTTCGTCCTTCTTCTCCTCCTCATCTTCCCAGCTTTCCTAAAAACCGCAAAAATCGCATAAAAATCCTTATAAATGCGTCACCATAATAAAAGTAAAATAAAACAAATGTGCAATCGAAAATTGAACACGTGTACAGAAAGTGAAAACAAATCAGCTAAAAACAAGTTTGGCTTGCCAGCAACAACAACATTGCATTGACAAACACTTTATGCAAATAAATTGAAAGTTTTATTACAATACGCACCTTAACATCATCATCATCGTCCTCTCCATCCCACTTGTTCAAGCTTGCAGTATTCGGGCGTATTACCACTTCACTGTCGACTGCAGATTCTGCCAAAACAATAGAAGCGAATTATTGTTAATAATACGTTGCACACCTTGAACATATTGTTGCTAAAAATATAAATCAAGGTTGGGTGCACGTTGCGTCGCACGCTCCTTGTGTCTGGGTGCGTGGGAGTATGTTGCTATGGCGAAAGGCGACGGCAGCTCCTTTTCATCAAAAGAGAAAGGGGTGGGGAGGGGGGTACAAGTGGCTGTATCAGCGCCACATGCGCAACACTCGCTGACGGTGACTTTGATGACGCACCGCGTCCAAACTTACCCCAATCGTCGGCCATGTTTGTAGATTTACTGAATTCCTCCTTTTTAAAATTTAATTTGTGCTCCAAGTAAGGCAATTTGTGCAAAATTAAAACCAATACAAATCCTCTGCAAAAGTCAGGAATATTCCCTTCCTCGTTATTTTTATAATGAAATGTGCTTAGTAAGACCGTATGTCGAAAATAGTTCAATTTGGCCAAAAAGAATATACAATACTTAAAGTTATCGATAAATGTATGTACATATTTACCGATGACTTCCAGCTGTTTTTTTTTTATTGAATTCGTATTGTTATAGAATAAATAGTGCTAGAGTAAAAAATATTTAAATTATGTCCTCTACTTGTTTTGATATTGAAAAGGTTGCCGAATTATTTGGAAGCAGCTTACTGGAGGAGGATGATGTACTTATGGATAATTACCTTGAAGCCTACGAAGAGATTATGAAGTAAGCATAGCAGTTGATGTGGCAGGCGGGTAATCAAAACATATAAATATGTACATTATTAAAATGATTTTCTTATTGCAGATTCTTCCAATTGATGGGAAGCGTTTTCAGCTTTGTTAGCAGCGATGTGCGCTCCAAACTCGATATTCTTTACCAGTTTCGCAACGAAGAGACGCAAAACTATGAGAATTTTTTCTCAATAAAAACAATGATTGAATATGAAAAGACGGCGAACCTTTTTGATGATAAAAGTTACGTGTCTGCTAGTCGAACTTTGCTGCGATTGCATCGCGGGTTGGACTTTGTGTATGAGTTTCTAACACGTCTACAAGATCTTGAAGATAATGACAAAGCGTACGAGTGCTGTAAGTCGGCTTACAACGATACACTGGCCAAACACCACTCCTTCCTCATACGCAAGGGCGCCGGAGTGGCCATGTATGCGATGCCAACGAAGGCAGAATTGCTCAAACGGGTCTGTCAGGATGTGCCTAGCGCCATTGAGAAACTTCCGGATATGTTGAGACACACACGGGTCGTTTACGACCGAACGGATCAGCTGTACACGTTACACGATCTGCATAGCCTGCCTTAATACTAAGCAAAATGTCGTGTTTCTTTGTGTATTTAGTTTTGTTTATTTTATTGTTGCATTCCAACTTGGAAAATAGGAATATTTACATGTATGCATTCACTTGCCTTGGCCTCAGCGGATGTGCAATCTCTTGCTTGTATCGCTCAAATCTAACAATGTATTAAATTCAACTAAGCGAAATGTATGACTTGTGACTATCTGGTTATTTAGTCGGCTGCCTCAGACTCGTGCTCCAAAAATAGTTTGCCGCCATGTCTATGACGAAAACTTGAACCATATCGCAGATAATTGAATGTAATAATGGGCAGCTGATAAGATATACATATGTATATACAACGGTGGGCACAATAGCTTTTGTCCAGGAAAATGTTTGAAAACAAAAGCGAAATCTGCGCATCTTATCTGTTTTATCACGCCTACTTCTTAACAGATTGCTTTCATCCCATAATTCCCAGCCAAATTTATGAAGTACTACCCCCGTTTAGTTCATATTTCTGCAATAATGGGCGATTTAATGGCGGCGATTACGTTTTAAATTATCTAATGTATTAGCCCTAGAGTGAACCATTCCCCACACACTTAATGAATGCTATGTTGTGCCTAGTGCAAAAAATTTTGGTATCAAATCAAATGTTTTTGATGACGCTAGTCGTCACTAACTGTTTAAAACGAAACCATTTCACAGTGCGAGCCATTATCAATCCGCTAGCCTCTGGGAGCGGGTCGAATGGTGCGATGAATTCCTTAAAGGAGAATAATACTAAACGCGAATCGAATCCGTTTCTTAGTGCAAATATATTATCGAAATGGTTTTTTTTGTAAGTTTTTCTCTTTAAAATTGTAATACGTAAATCTTTGAATTAATTTGAATGGCATTGTGCTTATGAAATTTCGTGTCTTGACCTAAGCGACGGCGAATAAACAGTGGACATAACATAAGACCAAATAAGTTTTTTAAGTGACATCCAATGTGGATAAGGTTTTCAAAATACTAGTGATTGGGGTGGACCAGTGGAATTGCATTCGAATGTGTAAATACGGCTATTTGTGCATACCTATTTAAGCCTGTTATATTTCCGAATTCGATGGGATTGTGGAGAATCAAAGCTGCCAAAAAAAAAAAAAGGATTAAGTCCTTGGGTTATAACACTAATGGAAAACTAGTATACTACTATTTTTTTTTACCAATAATACAAATTTGAATTATACATTTTTGATTGTTTATTTATTATTTATCTCCAGAGATTCGAATTCAATTTTATTTCCAAAAACGAGTAGTAAGCATTTTTATTTAGAAAAGAAAGGGTTTTAAGAAATTTTAAATTAATATCAAAATGTTGAACACCAAAATGTACAACCTGGGCACATACTACGTATATCTATAATAACCTGTGTGTAGTGCATATTATCACGTTGTAGCGCTGGGGCTCAGTATTGTCAGATTGCATTAGGAGCCTTAGTGCCTGAGCTTTTGAAGAACGATAAGATACGATAAGGTTATAAATTTTCTGAGCTATTACTCCTATTGTACATATGGCTTTCCTTCTCCAGATGGACACGCATTGTTTTCCAAAGAGGACGACGCAATCAGTTGAATACCAACGAGCTGTATTCGAATCTTCCCAGTTTCGACAGCGAAAACTTGACATTAGAGCTGTTGGAGCCGTGGAATCTGGAATCTAAACGTAAGCATCCAAATGCATTGCGTCTTATATTCAGAGTATATGGTTGGCAATTTGTGCCCATATGTGTACTCTACTCGATTCTGGAGATCACCATACAGTAAGTGATGGCTATTATAATAAAAATGTTTATCTCGGCGAAAATATTATCTTCTGGGTTGAGGCGACGAAATAACTTAAATGGGGTTGGGAAGTGATATATTAAAAACAAATATTATATACATATTAATTCATTTAGGAGTACATAGAAAGTACATTTTCTCGTTCACGGTTTACAAACATTTTCGAAAACGTATGTGTATAACAAAAGTAAAAATAAGCACTATATTGAAGTTGAAAAAATATACACCTAATTCAGTTTTTAAACGATAGATTGGTTCCAGAAAGAGTCGTGTAAAAAAAACTGGAATGGAACTGGCAACCATATACTTGTATACCATTTTTAATTGTCAAACCGTGTTAAATCAGAATCGTGTAAAAACAGAATTAGGTGTAAATATAACAGGGAACTTTTTCGTTTTCTTGAGCATCTTATCATCGAGATAGTTTCGCCAACAATTTTGAGTATTTAATATAAAGAACTTATAAAAAACAAAACAACTAAAATTCTATAAATCTATCAGCGCCTTTCAGCCATTGCTGCTTGGTGGTCTGATCTCTTACTTTTCGCAGGGCCAGACGAGTATCAGTAAGGAAAGTGCCTACCTCTACGCAATGGGCATTGTTTTGTGCTCCCTGATCACATCAGTCTTTTTCCACCCATTCATGTTCTATGTCTTTAAGGTGGGCACTCGCATAAGACTCGCTTTTGCCGGTCTGGTCTACCGGAAATGTCTGCGAGCTGGTGTAACCGCCGATAATAATGGCATGGGTGGCTTTGCCATATCCACCATGTCCATCGATTTGCCCCAATTCGATCTAACCTTCTACTTCTTCCATGATCTGTGGAAGGGGCCCGTCGAGGCCTGTATTTTTGGCTACATAATGTACACTATAGTTGGCTGGCCAGCAATTATTGGAATTGTTTTTATTGTGGTGCTGATACCACTCCAGGCTTGGGCCGCCAAGGCGGCTGCCCACTTTAGAACCTCCTCTGCCGGCCACAGGGACAAACGCGTCAAGCTGATGAACGAAATCATCACCGCCATTCAAGTGATAAAGATGTATGCTTGGGAAAAATCATTTGCCCGTCTGATAGCAGCGGTGCGTAAGAAGGAAGTGGCTGCCATCCGGGGATCCATGAGCATCTATGCGGCCCTTCAGTGTACTAACATGATATCAGCGGTGTCCTTGTTCCTTAGCCTCATCGCATATGTCTACACGGGAGACGTCGTTACATCGAAAAAAGTATTCATTTTAACATCTTACTATTCTCTACTGAATGACTCCCTTCTCCATTTCTGGCCCTTGGCCATTAATACCTGGGCGCAAACTGTGGTCTGCGCTCGTCGCGTTGTGGAATTCCTACAACAAACCGAGATGCCACCCGGTGATGGCTGCCGTGGTTCGGATAATCCAGCTCTGGTATTGGATACACCTGAAAAAGCTCACCAGGTGGGTCGTTTGTACTGCACTAAGAGCGCCACAAAGTCACTCCGCTTTAAGGAAGTCACAGCCAGCTGGGATAAGCCCACCACGGAGCAGAAGCGTCGGGCACACATAGAGAAGATAAGCTTTGAGGCACGGGAGCGCCAATTCGTTGGCATTGTGGGTAGCGTTGGCGCGGGTAAGAGCACCCTGCTGCACGCCATTCTGGGAGAGTTGGAGTTGATGGAGGGACGCGTAGAAGTGCATGGCAAGGTTAGCTATGCACCACAGGAGCCTTGGATATTCCAGGGCAGCATACGCGAGAACATTGTATTCGTTGCGCCCTACGAGGAGCAACGTTACAAGGCGGTGGTGCATGCCTGCCAGCTGGAGCGAGACATGGAGCTGTTTCCCCGTGGCGATGCCACCATAGTGGGTGAGCGAGGCATCAGTCTCAGCGGCGGCCAGAAAGCACGCATTAGCTTGGCCCGCGCCGTGTACCGGCAAGCAGATATTTACATCTTTGACGATCCCTTGGCCGCCGTCGATGCTCAAGTGGGTAAGCTGATGATGGATAAGTGTTTCAATCGTTTTCTGGGCGACAAAATTCGAATACTGGTCACCCATCATGTCGACCTACTCAAGCATGTCGACTTCCTTCTGCTGCTTGAGTCTGGTCGCCTGCTCCAACAGGGAAGCTACGATCTACTGAAGGACATTATTTGCCAGCACGCCGCTCCTGACATGGAGGCCATCGAGGCGGACAAACAGCAGGTGAAGCGAGCTCTCAGCCAGGTGGACAGGCACTCCAAGCAGCTGGATAAGGAATCGAAAGATCTGAATGATCAGGACGAAGATATTCATGCCGAACAGCAAGCTCAAGGTGCTGTGAGCTTTGCCACATATAAGTCTTATTTTAGTGCCTTAGGTATGCCGCTATTGGTCTGCCTAGTTCTAGTGCTTTTTATAGTGGCCAGGGCCTGTCAAGCGGCTATGGACATTTTTATTTCCAAGTGGGCTACTTGGGAGGAAGACAAAGCTGTCGAGTCTATAGGGGACTACGAAAGTACGCGAACGAAAATGGTAACCTGGTATACAGTGCTGGTGGTCTGTACCTTAATTCTTTATTTGCTGCGAACCTTCGGCTTCTTCCTCATGTGTCTGCGCATCTCTCTTCGCTTACATGATCTGCTCTTTAGGGGCATTATACGCGCTTGCATGTACTTCTTCAATGCGAATCCATCGGGTAGAGTTCTGAATCGTTTCTCCAGCGACATTCAAAACGTGGACGTGGCTCTGCCTCAGGCCATGATGGACTCCCTGCAGGTAATTAGAGAACTAGGAATATGGAACTAAAAAGAAAGTAAACTTATCACATCATTCTCTATTTGACAGTTTCTAGTGGATGTGGTGGCGGTGTTGGTTATTGTAGCAATTGCCAATTATTGGTTACTTATTCCCGCTGCCATCATGGTGGTGCTCTTGTACCTCTGCCGGTCGCTTTACATTGGCGCCAGTCGGAGTCTGAAACGCATTGAAAGCATGAGTAAGTCTAGTATTGAAAATATAATACCCTATACGTATACTGTTAGGCCTACTAGAAGGAGGAAGGGGGGAAATCCCATACGAATCGTTATAAAAATGTCAGTCTATATAATCGCTATTGTTTGCATATGTTTTAAGCCGGTGAACTAGTTGTATATCATATACATAGCTGCCGAAGGAAAATGAATCTTAATACCAAAAAAAAACATTGTTTTTTCATTACCATATCAAATGTGAAAGATATTCGAAATATATAAATAATAGGGTTTATTTTTATTTACTTTATAGCACGCAGTCCAATATACTCGCACACCAATCAGACCTTCCATGGGCTCACCACCATACGAGCATTGGATGCAATGCCACAACTGGAGCAGACTTTTCATCAGCACCAAAATACAAATTCATCGGCTTTGTTTTTATATGTTAGCGCGAATCGGGCGTTTTCGTTTTGGACCGATCTCATTTGTGTGCTCTTTATACTATTCGTGACGTTCAGTTTTCTTGTCATCAACCAGAGTTTCTATAGCGGAGACGTGGGCTTAGCCATCACGCAGTCCATGACGCTGGTTATAATGTGCCAGTGGGGAATGCGGCAAACGGCGGAGATGGAAAACAATATGACTAGCGTGGAACGAATATTGGAGTATGCCGAAACACCTTCGGAACCGCCGCTGGAAACGCCTCCCAATGTCAAATTACCATTGGAGTGGCCGCAGGCTGGTCAAGTCCGTTTCCATGAGCTATGCATGCGATATGCTCCACAGGACAATTACATTCTGAAAGGCCTGAGCTTGGAGATACAGCCCATGCAAAAAATTGGAATAGTGGGACGCACGGGAGCAGGAAAATCATCAATTATACAGGCAATGTTCCGTTTGGCTTTGAATGATGGCCTCATCGAGATCGATGGCCAGGACATAGCCAAGCTGGGTCTGCACGACCTGCGCAGTCGCATCTCAATCATACCACAGGATCCAGTGCTCTTCTCTGGCACCTTACGCTTTAATCTCGATCCCTTTGATGAGAAAAACGACGAGGCTTTATGGTGTGCCTTGGACGATGTGAAGTTAAAGGACTACGTAGCCACTCTCGAAGGTGGTCTCTCTTGCCACATGCAGGATGGTGGCGCCAACTTCAGTATGGGTCAGCGACAACTCGTTTGTCTCGCCCGTGCAATCCTGCGCAGCAATCGAATACTCATTATGGATGAGGCCACCGCCAACGTGGACTCGGCGTAAGTAGCGTTGTACCGAAATTTTTCCATTCTTGTTCTTCAACCCGGTTACTTTTTTTTTAGTACGGATAAGCTGATACAGGAGACTATTCAAACAAAATTCGCGCATTGCACGGTTCTGACCATTGCCCATCGCCTGCTCACGGTTATGGAGACAGACAGTGTTTTGGTTATGGATGCGGGTCGAGTTGTAGAATTTGGACCACCACATGAGCTGTTGCAGCGTCCTGATGGTGTGTTGCTTAAGCTGGTTAGTCAAAACGAAGTGGCTACTGTGAAATATTTAAGAAGAATCGCTGAAGAGTCATACACACGAAAAAATCATATACAGCGAATTTCAAAAGAAAAATATATTTCCTGATAATCAATCAACCAACAATTTCCACATAACACGAATTTCTTGTATTTAGGTAACGCTTTTTCGCAAACTCTGCCAAGTTTGAAAACACAGCAGTTTTGATTTACAGATTAACAAATTATTTTCATTTATAGATTCATAAATCCATTTTTCAATAAATTATTCTATTTAGGATATTTAACGGTTTCTGTGAAATCTATTGTGAATGTGGATTGTAACATGGATAGTAGCGGTATTTGCTTTGGTGTTTTTAATAGGCTTTGTGCATTTTCTAAACACAAGCTATGGTCACACTGGCAAACGGCTTTGGTGGCGCAACATTTAAAAGAGCAAAAACATTCGTGGCGCAACATTCAAGACGTGCAGACGTATTCCGGTTGTTACCTGCGGTGTAAAGTGAATAAATATTTATTAAACTGGGCTTACACTTGCGCTCACACACACAGACCAGAGACAGCAAAGTGAGCGCGCGCGCATACAGCTAAAAAGCAGCTTGAGTGAGTAAGCGAAAGCGGCTATACTGGTGAACAGCATCCACGGTGCGCGTGTAACGAAAAGAGTAGAAGCTAGCTTTATTATTTGGAGTCGTCTGCTAGCGCTAGCTCAGTGGCAATAGCTTGTTGACTTTTCTTCGGCAGCGAAACGTTTATTACACTCAAGACAAGTTGCCGTCAACGTCGCCGTCGCGCTTTTTCGTTATTATATTTTTAAAGGGTGTGGTGCTGCTGGTGCGCGTTCCACATTTTGTGCACGCAAAAACAAAATAAATTGTTATTTTCGCCAATAATTTTATTTCCACCATGTGGCGCGCTAATCTAAAGTACAATTTGTGGCCAACGGCCAGTGCACGAATTGGAGTGCTGATGTTGTTGGCGCTCCAAATGGCCACGCACGCACAGGCTCAGAGAACACCCACCATATCGTACATCACTCAGGAACAGATTAAAGATATTGGCGGCACTGTCGAGTTCGACTGCTCCGTACAATATGCCAAGGAGTACAATGTGCTCTTCCTTAAGACCGATTCAGATCCTGTCTTCCTCTCTACGGGCTCAACACTCGTTATCAAAGATTCGCGCTTTTCGCTGCGTTATGATCCCAACTCTTCCACCTATAAGTTGCAAATCAAGGATATACAGGAGACAGATGCAGGCACCTACACCTGCCAGGTGGTCATCTCCACAGTCCACAAGGTGAGCGCCAATGTGAAACTCTCCGTGCGACGCCCACCCGTCATATCCGATAACTCAACGCAATCGATTGTGGCCAGCGAAGGAAGCGAAGTACAAATGGAATGCTATGCAAGCGGTTACCCAGTTCCGACCATAACCTGGCGTCGTGAAAACAATGCCATTTTGCCAACGGGTAAGTTTTGTGGGTGCTTAAATTATGAATACATATACATACACTAAACAAAATGCCAAAAATCCGAATCCGAAGAATTTGAAAATATTCTTTCTAAAACTAAATTTGTTTCAAACCAGAAAATTATTCTGTAGCGTACATATCTATCTTAAAGCTTCGATATGGGAAAGAAAGTGATTTCAGCCAGAAATGCAACCATTTTTATAAAACTGCTAAGAACATTTTTGAAAGAAATACATTATCTAAAAATTTGAATTAGTGCAGTAATTTATTGTTAAAGAAAATTAATTTTGTATTGTCTAAAATTGTTTTACAGTTAATTTTTGTTTTTATTTTTCTGAGTGTATCAATGCCCCTGACAAAATATTTACTGACCCTTATACCACGCTGCTTAGTTGTTGTTGGTCAATTGGTCGGGTGGCCGTTGAGTAGGTGTTTAACCCATCGTTGCGTTTTGGGGCGCTGTTCCACACTGGCTTGGGCGCTCCCTCGCTCTCTCAGTGACTCACTCAGGCGTCACCTACGGCATATGTTTTTGTTGTTGTAATAAAACAGTTGTTAGTTGTGCGTGTTGGCTCATTTAGTTTTGATAGCACCTGGTCCGGGCAGGTTTTTGCAGTTGTTTTCAAAATATTGACGCATTCTATAGCTAATTTATAATCTTTGCATAATACTTGACCCAAAGGTTCAATACAGATTAAGCTTCAATCTTGGCTCATGCATGGCATATAGCGTTCTCATTCACACACAAACTCACAAACTCACGTAGAGGGGCTCTCCCTCTCTGTGTCGAGCAGTTATTCTCTCGCGCTCTTTTTCAAGTAATTCATTTGTTTTATTTCATTTATATACTTGTATGTATTTTTTTGGAATTTCACGCACAAGTGCAAAATATTCTCAACAGTTTCTCGCTTACTACTTTATGGTCTCTTTTACTGTTGCCTTTCTATTTCTCTTTTATTGTTGTTTAGTCTGAAAAGCTAATAAAAACAAATTGTAGTGCAGGTAAAATGCATCATTTGTACAAGGTTAGCTGCTGTTAATCCCCTACAGGTGCCATCTAAATAAATATATACCTGTACGTATATATGTATGTATGTACCTGTTCTTTCTTTCTTTTGTTCTTAGCAACTTGCCTGTGTATTTCTCAGATACATGGCTGGTAGGTGCATCATTTATCTTAAGTCATAAATGAGGCTTAGACATCTGTGCAGCGGACAGTAATTGAATCTAAATACGGTCTATGAGTCTAACAAGATTGCAGCGTCATTTGTGGCTTAGGGCTAAGCTATTAGTCATATCCTAGGTACAGGTAATTGTGCAGACTTAGGTATAGTCTAACAAAGAAAATGCAAGCAGAAAAGTATCTCTTGTGGCACTATTCTAAAATAAATTTATTTAGTAACGTATACGGTCAGTCAAGCAGATAATTTGCGCCCCAATTCGTTCGATTTGAATAGGCAACATAAACCTTTGATTACATCCTTTTGATAGAAGTACCACTAATATCACTAATATTACTGATTTCGAACAAATTGTATGGGAACTATTGCATCCTGAACACAGTTTTTAGGGATTTGTAACTAACTTCGAAATTAAACCTTCTTTGCTGGAAAAGAAAGCGTGTATTAATTTTATAACTACAATAATATAGTAAACATTTTGTTCTTTATGTTTTACAAGCATGTTATTATATCCTTCACTTACAAAATGTATTAGTAGTTGCTCTTAGACAAGCTTTCTGAAAATAAATTATAAGCAATCTTAATTACGCCGTTTTACGGCTAGCCTGGTAAGGGCAACTCACCTTATCGAAACCAAATGGAGCCCTTTTAGATATTAGTGTAAAAACCAACTTGAGCCATTAAATCTATAAAAGTTTTGCTTTTTTTTTTATCAAATGGGTGTGTGAATGACACTGAATGCTCCATTGCAGTCCTTGGAATTATGAGCGACGGCTGCACTTCAAAGCTACTTAGGCCCAGCCCAGCAAAATAAAAAATAAGCGAGTATGCCAAAGAAGGGATGCCATACTAAAAAAAAGTACCACAATGGCTTGGACACGCTTCATGGATTTACTTCAATGTCAGAACGGTTTAACTTCAAGCGTACATAAATCAAAGGCAAATGCTCTGGCCAAGAGTTGGAAATAGAAAGCGGGGAGTAGAAAGGGGCGAGCTAGATGACAGTGGGTTGGTGGTTTTGGCAAGGTGCACATATCAAAGCAATTTCCAATGTTTACTTTTCCCAGTGCACTGGCACAACCCTGCGTCAGCGTGGAGTTTCACACTTTTTTACGCTCTAATTTAAAGCGCTTAAACAAACAAAACTGCCGTCTGTGTTTAGGTCTGAAACTGGGATTGGGTACGGACCTCAGACTGTATCTGCGCCTGGGTGTGCAGCAGCAGGCGCACAGACTTCCAAGAGGCACAAGACTCGACCACTCGAGCCACAAACCAGAAATATGTGCACATGTATATATGTGAGGAGTGGAAACGCTTTTATGCATTCGACAACTTCAGCACGCGCAATTGCTTCCGCAACTTGAAAACGTACCTACGAGTACGCCCGACTCCAACTGGCGCGGTTTGCATGTCAGGCCCGTTTGATGGTTGATGGTTGGTTGAGAGTGAAATGTGAAACAAAAACAATTCACAGTGCTTTAGGATACTCTCTTTTAGTCGTCTGCAGTAGTTCGGTCCTAAATTACTTTTACTGGGACTATAATCGGAAAATTTTACATAATACTTACTCTTAATGGCATTTCAATTGGAAAAGATCAACTAATCTAATATTTTTTAATATATTTGTATTATTCAAAATTATAAGAAATGTAATCTGATTCTCCAGCACTGTATAGTGTAACTCCAACTGATTCAAATCATTATAGTAGGAATAATTTGCACCTAAATACGTTTAAAATAGTTTCCTCAGATTCTTTGTAATTTAAAAGCTTAACTTAATTACAATCTTAAAATTAAATTTTGAATACCATTTCGTTAAAGTAATATGTTTATATGTCCTAAACATATCAGAGCATATCAGAACTTTATTTTGGTTTACTAGAGTTTTCCTCCCAGGCTTAAACTTTGAATCAGCCACTATAGTAAACATAACAAACACAAAAAGAATTGCTTCTTCATTAGATTTGGAATCAAATACTGATTAAAAATCAGCCATGCATTTGGAATTGAAATTTAAAACTGTTTAATCTTTAAGCAGCTTAGCAATTAATCGAACTTCGTGTTATTGCCTTTCGATTGCAGTACTGGTTAAATGAAACGAATTAGTGTACAAACTATTTTCTCGCTTAGTCGCAGGTTACGAGAAATAATTTCTTTCGAGATAATTATTATTTTGACAAGATTAAAATTTGGTTTTTTAATTGGTAATTCAACCACTGTGCAATCTGTTCAAAAGGGCCAGAAAGCCGGGCGTGGTGCCATATCAGACACGGTTTTGAGTTTGTTTGGCACAAAACCAAAAATATATACTTATATGTATTAACAAAAAAATAAATAAAGAAAGAAAAGAGTAAACATCAGACAAAGGCATGGCGAATGCGCGAAGCTAAAAGCTACCCCCCTGCCAGCCTTCGGGGTCCTTCGAAGTTGTGTGCGCAAGCTACATAATTTTTATTTTGATAGCAGAAAAATACAATATACATACAATATACAAAATATATAAATTACAAGCCAAAAAGGTAAAACCCGGCACGGCCCAAACAAAGCCCTTGCCGGGAGGGAATGCATGGAAAAATAGAATATAATGCAAACGTGTTGTAAAACATAAACAAACAAGCTGTGGTGCACTCTCGGGCATCCTGGGCCAGCCCCTGCCCCTGCCCCCTGTCCCCTGTCATAGCAAGCAACCCTAGGGCCTCTGATACGCCCTAGCCCCGAGCATAAACACGTACGAGCACAATATATAACAAACCCCTAATCAAGCGTTTCCGTTGCCCGTTGGGTTTGTTTTTCATCTCTTTTTTAATGCAAAGGGGTTCATGTCCTTGTCCATGCCATTTGCGCCAATTTGTGCAACGCATGAGTAAGACGGGAGCCGCGTAACCATGTAAATCAATTGGTTATTCCCAGCAGTCATCAAAGTTAAGCATTAACTACTTTGCATTTACTAGGAGACCGGTAGAAAGGGAAAGTGGGAATAAGTGTGACAACAAATTTGTGCTGTAAACAAAAAGAAAGAGCACATGTGGCTTGCACCTGGCGTTTTACCTTTTTCATTCGCTTGCATACGCTTAGCTAGGCAGAAAGCAATGGGCCACATTGGTAGCCACATTCTATATATGGGTAATGAAGCAATAACAATTTATAATTCATAATAAAGCTCACCTTGGCCCAAACTGACGCTTACTCGTTACCGTCACGTGAGTTTCCGCTTTCCCCCCTTTGAGAGTTGTGCTGCCATTTTAGGCCAAACTTCCAGCACATCTATGCATTTATTCTTGGCAACGTTAGCAAATAAAGAAATCCAAATGTTTAATGCCAACCCAGCGAATTTGATCAAAATTTGCAAGAAGCTGACGCTCAATTTTCTTTCTAAGTTGGGCGCAGAAATGTCAATTCTTCAATTGTTAGAGTCAACAGTTTCCCATCTGCCATCAGCATTTTGCAGCATCAACTAAAGCGTAAAAACGTTTATGCAAATTACAACAACTTGAGCTTGAGTACTCCAATTTCGTAATGAGAGAGACACAAATGCAATTTGCATGTGAAGGGCCACGAACCAATCCCAGGGTCCGCTTAAATAGCCAAAGACTTTGAGGGTTGAAAAATTCAAATGTCGAGTTTCGAATATTATAGAATTTACGCTTAAAATTTCGATGCGCAATTGATGCGACACTTGAACTCTCAAGAACGCATAACAAATTGCAAATTAGTTGGTCCAATAAAATATCTAATGAAAAATACAATATTGTCCGTGCTCTGGCCCCGGGGCTACTGTCAAAATATGTATTTGCGATTAATTAAACTGTGCGGAGG